AGATCAGGAACACCACTCAGCAACAAAAAGGAACAAAAGCAAGAAGCTCCTGACACGTGCAACAACTTGCCTGGATCGCGAGATCATGCTGAGTAAAAAGAAGCCAAGGTTGCAAACTGTATGATTCCATTTGTATAACCTGCATGAAATGACAAAAGCATAGAGATGGAGAGCATATCAGTGGTTACCAGGGCCAGGGAAGGGGGAAGAAGGGATGTGACTGTGGCTATAAAAGGGTGGCACAGGATTCTTGTCATAAGCTATGGTGTATCTTCACAGTGGTGATCATGGGAATTCACATGCGATGCTATTGCATAGAATTAAACACACACACACACACACACCCACGAGTGCATGCCAGTGAAATCTGAATGAAGTCAGTTTGATTATATCCATGTTAATGTCCTGGTTGTGATGTTATACTACAGTCATGCTGGATATGAGTACTTCAGGAAACTGGATAAAGGGTATACGACATCTCTCTATTATTTTTTATCACATGTGGATCTAGAACTCTCTCAAAATAAAAAGTTAAGACACACAAGGTACGGGTTTCCCATCAGGATGGCAGTGTTAAACGTCATACCCAGCCCCAGCTGGTTTGGCCCAGCAGTTAGAGTGTTAGCCCATAGACCAAAGAGTCATGGGTTTGATTCCAATCAAGGGCATGTACTTTGGTTGCAGTTTGATCCCCGGCCCTGGTTGGGTCATATGGGAGGCAACCAATAGATGTGTCTCTCTCACATCGATGTTTCTCTCTCCCTCTCTCTCTTCCCCTCCCCCCTCCCTTCCACTCTATCTGAAAATCAATGGAAAAGATATCCTCGGGTGAGGATTAAAAAGAAAAAAGGGCAGTACCCAGAACCTCCCACAACCACTCAAAAGTACTACTAAATTACAGAACAACCGTCATGCATACTACCTGAGATCTAGCTGAACAGAAGTCCTACAATTAAGAATATAAAGGAAAAGCCACATTGAGATTGGTAGAAGGGATGGAGACTCAGATGGGCTGGTCCCACACCCACAGGTGGCAGTTAAAAATCAGAAGGGATATCTCAGCTACAGAGGTCCTCCCTAGGAAGCAAGGGGGCCCAGCGCCACATCAGATCCTCCAGCCCAGGGTTCTGGTACCAGGAGAGAAGTCCCCATAACTTCTGGCCGTTAAAACCAGAGGGGATTGTGGCTGAGTGAGACAAGGGACTGCTGGAACCTTAGGAGTTCCTCTTAAAGGGCCCACGCATGGACTTACTCAGACTCACTTGCTCTGAGCTCCAGCACTGGGGCAGCAGCTCAAAAGGCACCAGGGACATACAGGGAGGAACTGAATTCTCTGGCATCTGGGAGAGCTGGAGGGGCAGTTTGCTCCCAGACAGAAGTGCTGGCAGAAGCCATTGTTCCTTTGCTGAGCCTTCACCACAGAGCCAGCAGGTGGGCACCATGTCTGAGTTTCCATTAACCTTGCTAATACTATTAGTCCCACCCTGGTGACTCCCTGAGACCCTGCCCCACCCAACTTTCAGACCCACCCAAGCTGTTTCCAGTGGCTTTTCTATACAAATGGCCTCTCTTTCCTCATGCTTCAGACTTTCCTAAAATCTTTCCAACAATAGCATCTGGCCTCTGTGTATCCCATACCTATTGTTAAGTGGCCCTAGGCCCAGCACTAACAGCGGCTGGCCTTGGTTCACAGCTTGGCCTCTTACAGGCACCTTCAAGCCCAACACAAGTAGCAGCCATCTTCACATCACCCTGTAACTCATGCCAGGTAACCCTGAGCAGGGCACAGGCAGTGGCTGACTTTGCACCTCCAGGAAGTCCCCAGAGCCAGTGTACCTGGTGAACAGCTTCAGACAACACCAGATTACAACTCTACCACCTCCATGAGCAACACACTCAAGGGGTGGCCTCGGCAGGTATCAAAGCCCTATTGAAGCAAGTTCTGCTCCATAGGGTTGGCCCCCCTGCACAGCAGCTCCTCCACTGTAATTGCAGCTGGTCCTCACATCTGATCAGCCTGGTGGTCAATCCCAGTGACATGCCAACAGGAATCAAGGCTGAACTACAACAGGACAGTGCACACAGCCCTCACAGGGGCACACCTGGAACACCTAGCTCGGTGACTGGGAAGGCTGCACCACTGGGCCCTACAGCACACCTACTACATGAGGCCACTCTACCAAGCCCAGGAGACATAGCAGCTCTACCTAATATATAGAAACAAACACAGGGAGGCACCAAAATGAAATAAAAGAAAAAGTCCCAAATGAAAAAATAGGAGAAATCTCCAGAAAAAAAAGTGAGATGCAATGGAAGCCAGCAAACTACAAGATACAGAGTTCAAAACAATGGTTATAAGGATGCTCAAGGAACTTAGTGAGAACTTCAACAGCATAAAAAATGACATAGAAACCATAAAAAAGAACCAGTCAGAAATGAAAAATGCACTAACTGAAATGAAGAATAAATTATAGGGAATCAACAATAGAGTAGATGAAGCAGAGGATCAAATCAGTGATTTGGGATACAAGGAAGCAGAAAACACCCAATCGGAACAGCAAAAAGAAAAAAGAATCCAAAAAATGAGGATAGCATAAGGAGTCTCTGGGATAATGTCAAGCATACCAACATTTGCATCATGGGTTGCCAGAAAGAGAAGACAAAGAGCAAGAAATTGAAAACCTATTTGAAAAAATAATGACAGAAAACTTCCCTAACCTGGTGAAGGAAATAGACATACAAATCCAAGAAGCACAGAGAGTCCCAAACAAGATGAACTCAGAGAGGCCCACACCAAGACACACCATAATTAAAATGTCAAAGGTCAGCCCTGGCCAGTTTTGCTCAGTGGTTAGAGCATCGGCCTGTGGTTCAGAGAGAGCCGGGTTCAGTTCCCGCTAAGGGCGCGTACCTCGGTTGCAATTTGTCCCCAGCCCTGGTTGGTCGTGTGGGTGGCAGCCACTCGATGTGTCCCTTTCACGTCAATGTTTCTCTTTCTCTCTCTCTCCCTCCCACTTTATCCGAACAACAACAAAAAAAAATGGAGAAATGTCCTCCGGTGAGGATAAAAAAAAATGTCAAAGGTTAAAGACAGAGAGAATCTTAAAAGCAAGAGAAAAGCAGCTGGTTACCTACAAGGGAGCTCCCATAAGACTATTAGCAGATTTCTCAACAGAAACTTTGCAGGCCAGAAGGGATTGGCGCAAAATAGTAAAAGAAGTGAAAAGCAAGGACCTACAACCAAGATTACTCTACCCAGCAAAGCTATCATTTAGAATCAAAGGACAGATAAAGAGCTCCCCAGACAAGAAAAAGCTAAAAGAGTTCACCACCACCAAATCAGTATTACAAGAACTGTTAAACGGTCTTCTTTAAGAAAAAGAAAAAAAGATAAAAAAATATGAATAATAAACAACCATAAGAAAAGAACAAAATCTTACCATTTGTGACAGCATGGATGAACCTAAAGGGTATTATGCTAAGTGAAATAAGTCAGTCAGAGGAAGACAAATACCATATGATGTCACTTATATGTGGAATCTAAAAAACAATATAAATGAACAAACAAAACAGACTCCTACAGAGAACAGACTGATGATTGGCAGAGGGGAGGGAGACTGGGGGACTGGATAAAAAAGTAAAGGGATTGAGAAGTACAGATTGACAGTTACAGTCATGGGGATGTAAAGTACAGTTTAGGGAATATCGTCAATAGTATTGTGATAAATATGTATAGTGCCAGTTGAGTACTAGAAATATCATGGGGAACACTTTATAAAGTATATGATTGTCTAACCATTATGCTGTACGCCCAAGACTAATGGAAAATAATATTGAATGTAAACTGTAATTGAAAAAAAATTTTAAAAAAGAGAATTTATAAATTTCCTAGGTGAGTCTGGGTGCAACCAGGATGGAGAATCACGGGTCTACATGAATACCAGCCTGGCTTAGTTGCATCAGAACAAGAGAGAGCTACTGGATGATCCCAGGGAGCAGGGAGGTAGGGAGTGACATTGCCACTGATGGTGAGACAGGGCAGGGTAGAGGCAGGAGGAAGTATGGCCAAGTCCCATGACTGCTCTGCACTGGTCAGGCTTAATACCTATTGGAAAGTATTGTGTCCCCCTAAATTCATAGGTCGAAATCCTAACTCCTGGTACCTCAGAATGTGACTGAATTTGGAGATAGGGTCTTTATAGAAGTGACATGGATGAGCCCTCATCCAGTATGACTGGTGTCTTTAAAAGAAGAGGAGATTAGGTGGTGGGGGAGAGATAAACCACAGAACTTATATGCATGTGTGCATGAACAATGGACATGGACAACAAAGCTGGGGACAGGGCGGGGAGGAAGAGGGAGGGAGAAAATCAGTGGGGGGAAAAGGAGAAACATCTGTAACAAAAATTAATTAATTAATAAAAAATAAAATAAAGAAGAGGAGATTAGGACACAGACAAGTATAGCGGGAAGAGTGTGTGAGGACACAGGCAGAAGACAGCCATCTACAAGCCAAGGAGAGAGGCCTCAGAAAAAACAACCTGCTGACACCCTGATCTCAGACTTCTGGCCTCCAGAACTGTGAGAAAATTAATTTCCATTGTTTGAGAGGGGGAAAAGACACACAAGGTAATGATTAATGCTAAATTTAAGATGCAGGTTCTTTCTGGGGCCAGGAGTGGATTATGCAGATGGAGAGAGATACACGGGGAGATTCGACATTATCTGTCTTGTTTTCCTTCTTAAAAAGGAAAAATCTGAAGCACACATGGCATAATGCTAAGGTTCTTGTTATTCTCTATCACATTTTTATGTTTGAGATAGCTCATAATTTTTTACAAAGTTGATCTTGCATAACACTTTGCGAGCCAGGAGTGTATCTGGGATGCGGAGGGGGAGGGTGCAGGAGGAGGGCAAAGGGCTCACTGAGGGGAGAGGGGTGGCCAGAGCCTGGCCCCCACCCCTCAGACCACAGAGCTCCCCCACCTCTGTCTTCACAGCCCCCGGAGAAGGAGGGCGCACTGCCTCGGCAAGTGGGCAACAAGACTGAGTGCGGCCTGCTAGGCTTCGTGCTGGACCTGAAGCAGGACTACGAGGCCGTGCGCATCCAGATGCCAGAGGAGAAGCTGTACAAAGTGTACACGTTCAACTCTGTGCGCAAGTCCATGAGCACAGTCATCAAGCTGCCCGACGAGAGCTTCCGCATGTACAGCAAGGGCGCATCTGAGATTGTGCTCAAGAAGTAAGCGGTGCAGGGAGCGGGCAGGGGCCGGGAGCCAGGGACTGGGGGGTGGCACAGCTCCCACTGTCCTGCAGAAGAGCCATCTGGCACCCAGAGGCTCAAACAGGGCCCTGCCCACCACCCAACAGCAAGACCACCCCCAAGGCTCCTTGTCCTGTGCTTTTTCCACTACTTCCTCTTAAAAATGTCTGTAGAGAGTTCTCCTCCTTCTCCTCTCTTCGTAGGAAGTTACACATTATCACTTAGATCTATTTCACCTCCCGTAGTAGGGAGTTGGTTGGGAGTAGTGATTTTCACTGTCAGCTGTCTCCTGTGTGCCAGAAATAAGCCTAGAGAACTAAGCAAGTTGCTCCCCCACTCTGGACCTCAGTTTCCCCACTTGTACTTTGAGGGGATGGATCTAGCTTAGTAGTTCTGAACCCTGGCTACACACTGGGATCACCCCAGAGAGCTTTAAAGAAACCATCAATTCCTGGACTCACCCCAGACAAACTGATTGGAACCTTGGGCAGGGCTCGCACAGGGTATTTATTATTCACTGTTCCTCCACACCAGTCTCATGTGCAAGCAGGGTCAAGAACCACTAGCCTAAGTTTTATGCCTTTTGACGACCATTTTAGCTATGGAACTATTTTTTCAGATGAAATCTTGTGACTATAAAACAGATCAAAGCAAACCTGCTCTTGCTGAGTGGACTGGGGCAGATATTACAAGAAGGCTACCTGATTTCTTTCTGGCTGGTCCCAGTTTCATCCCTGCCTGGGGCCCATGGGGCCTGGACCAACCCTGAAGCATTATGGGAGATGGACTGGATAGGCACTGGATGACCCACCACAGCCAGCTGGGCGTCACTGGGGAGAGGGAGGTGAGCTTGAGCCAGTCAGAGGGAAGATCCTTGGGCCCTTGGCTGGCCCTTACCCATCCCCATCCTGCCTTACCCCAGGTGCTGCAAAATCCTCAGCGGGGCAGGTGAGCCCCGGGTCTTCCGGCCCCGTGACCGAGACGAGATGGTGAAGAAGGTGATTGAGCCCATGGCCTGTGACGGGCTCCGCACTATCTGTGTGGCCTATCGCGACTTCCCCAGCAGCCCCGAGCCTGACTGGGATAATGAGAATGACATCCTGAACGATCTCATCTGCATCTGCGTGGTGGGCATTGAAGACCCCGTGCGGCCTGAGGTAACCCGCCACCCCCCCACCCCACCCCACAGCAGATCAGGGAAAACGGTTGAGGCTGGGAGTCTAGCCAGCTGGGTGACCTGACATAAGTCGCCTCATCTCTCTGAGCTTCAGTTATCCTGTGACAGCCCTAGGGTCTTCTTACTCCTCTTAAACATCCAGACTCATCACACCAGCATAAGCCAAACTTGGCATCGGTCTGCTCAGGTTATAAGGCAGAGCCCACAGTGTGCAGCAGTCCTAGGGCCGTCCACTCAACCCCCCAGACCTTCGCACTGGCCCCCCAAGGGACAGGAGCCAGGATCTCCTGCAAAAAATTCACAGGCCTAGATTCCAAGGTTCCTGCCAGTAACAAAGGTCACCAGACTCAGGAAAGCCTACGTGTGGTGTCACTGTCAGCATTCAGAGTTGTCCCCATCCAGACCCAGTTTACCAGTCAGTGCACACTCGCCGGCTTGCTAGGATCACAGCTCACTGTCTACCTTTATCAGGTGTCCAGGGAACAGAGCTAGAAGGTTACCAGAAGGTCGGATTCTCCAGCTGAAGGGGAGGGGGGTAATGATAGCACAGCCTTCCCCGAAAGTATCGAGGGAGGCGATGTACTCAGGGCACCTCATATGGTGCTCGGCTTACAGCAGGTCTTCAGTCTCCTCTAGCTGAATCGGAGCCAAGAATTCAGCACTGGAGATCTTCACGGTCAGGAAGGATGGGATGTGAGTGGCTAGTCGGGCTGCCAAGCCAGTGAGAGGCTGTGGGGAGAGCAGGGAGCCACCTCAAGTCTCCAAAACACTGATGTGGGTAGGCAGAACGAGTCAACTTGGGCCCAGAGGAGCCCAGAGGGCAGAGCCCAGGACATGAGGCCAGGCACAGGAGGGGCTGGCGTCCCTTCCTCCGGGGCCTGACACAGCTGCTGGTCCAGACCTGCTTCCCTGGCCAGGCCCCACTGGGTCCAGATTGGCCAAGGCTGCAGGATTTGGTGACAATGCCCCAGGGGCCACCTTCCTCTACCAAGGGCAACTTCAGTCTTCCCCACTTGCCCTGGCTCCACTTTCTGGGGGCCTCTGGTCATTCCTTGCTCCTCTTGGAGCCTGTTTTCTCTTCTTTCAAGTGAAAGAGGGTAGACAAGATGCTCACCAAGTTTCTGGCCCCAGTGTTGCCGGAAGAAGCAAGGTCACAGACATGGACTTTCACGTTTGGGCTGCAGAGAGAGGGGTCGAGGGTGTGAGCTGAGGCATCAGACAGACCTGGGATCCTGTGTCCTAGCATTACTGGCTGTGTGACCTTGGACTAGTTACAAAACCTCTCTGGGCCTCTGTTTCCTCATCTGTAAATAGGGTGATAGTATTCTGCGTACGCACGCGAACACACACACACACACATGCACACACACAGGGGTACTGTAAATCATCAGATCATGTACACATAAGCAATAGGAAAGATGTCTGGCACAAGATAGGTGGTCCATAGATGTGGGTCCCCTTCCTTTCTGCCCCTCCCCAGTAGATTGATGATTCTGGGTCCAGTGAGACACAACAGCCCCTAATACAGAGCCCAGCTTATGGAAGGTACTCGATAAGTGTTTGTGAAAGGAATAGATGGGACATGAACCCCAGTCTCCTAACACTGTGCCTGGTGCTCATTTTACACACACACAGGCCTCCTCACTCCCACCCACAGCCTAAAACAGCAAAGGCAACTAATGCCCTGGGGAGTGGCCCCCAGAGCCCACATGCGTGTTCCTGCAACTGAATCTCTCCCAGGACAGATGCATTCCTTAGCCCCTGTGGGGCGCCTGCTCACTGCCAGCTGCCAACGGGTCCAGGCTTCGCCGTGATGTGTTCTCTCTCCACAAGCCCCTGCGTGGTGCACGCGGCCAGCCTGTGGCTCTCCCGTCCTCCACGGCTCTGCCGGGCTCCCCCCCAGCTCCACGCACCCACAACTCCTGGCTCGTCACCCTGCCTCAAAACACCCCTAGGCGGGGAGGAAAGCAGCAGACACACACTTTTGGGGCCATGGCTGCAATAATAAGAAATGTGTCTTATGTCATGACTCAGGAGACACACATGCTTAACCAAAATAAGAATTTCACAAAGTAATGTGATGTGCTTAAGTATTTCCTATTCTCTTGTATTTCTTCCTTTCTCTTCTAAATGCTGGTCGCCACCCACGGAACTGATCTCACGTTCCACTGAAGGAGGGGTGACACCTCCAGGTTCCACACACTTCCCACACCCCCAGTTTGCAGATGAAAACACTGAGGCCCAAACCGGGAGAGGGACATCCCCAAGTCTCGTACGTGGCTGGGCAGATTCAGATTAGAACAGGCTTTCTGTCTTCCTGCCCCAGGACCTTCTCCTGGGTGCCACAAAACAAGAAAAGGCAGGTCGCGCTAAGTCAGGAGGGGGAGGAGAGGAGCAGAGAGGCCTGGGAGGGGCTGAGCCAGGTCCCCGGCCTTTTCTGTTGACAGCACGATCATCCGGAGACTGGCTCCAGGCTCAGACTGTGGGAAGGGGTGCTTTCTCTTCCCACACAGCAGGGCTGGAGGCCTTCACCTTGGAGGCTTCCACAGTGAAGAAAGTGGGCCTGGATCCAAGTCCCAACCCTGCCACTAACTAGCCACTTCCCCTCTCTGTGCCTCAGTCTCCTGGTCTGTAAAATGGGAGGTTGGCCAGGTGCCCCTCAGGTCCCTTCCCAGCTCTGACATCCTGAGCCAGCCGAGGGGAGGCTAACCGTCACGCCTGCCTTCACGCCCTCCCGGCAGCACATCCCTGGTGGTGACCTCTCTCACCTCGGCTCACCCCCAGGATGTAGACTGAGAAGTTGTGAGCCATGCTAGAGAGCGGTGACTTACTGCAGTGACAGACACAGCAGTCAAGGGACATGGGTTCTAATCCTGTCCCTGCCACTCCTTCACAGAAGACCTCGGTGCATCGCTTCCCCAGGCCTCAGTTTCCCCTCTAAACAATGAGAGTTGCAAGATCACAAGTAAGGAACACAGCAGGCTTACTGGTGACACTACTTCAAGGTGTAAAAGCTCTGATCTGTTGATTCTGCATCTCCCAGCGGGGCGGAGGTGGACCAGCTTGAGGAGACTGGCAGGTGTAGATTTTTATTTGGGGAGGGGCGAGGGCCTAAGTAATTTATGCATGTGGAGCCACATTCAAAAGGTTCAATGGCACAGACAGGGTGAAGTAGCCCCCATGCCACCCCGGTTCCCCAGTTCCCACCTCAGAGGCAGCATCAGTTTCTTGGATGACCTCTGGGGAATGGCTGTGCCTAACAGTGAGTGTGTTTGTGTCAAGTTCTCCTGGGCAACCTTGAAGCCAGCCAGGGTGGAAACCTCAGCCTGGACCACCTCTAGGGGCCTATAAGCATGCTCAGATTCATTTTGCAGCCACCACAGGAAAACAAATTCTGGCTCCTTCCTTTCCCCACCTGCCAAGGGGGAGAAGCTTCGATTGCCTTCCTCCCTCAAGAAGACAAAGGACAGAACAGATAAGAACAGGCTTGCCAAAACCCCCGCCGTGGGGACGCTACCTCGGGCGCATCTTCCGAGGCTGATTGCAGCCAGTGCGGATAAAGCCATCAGGAGAGGGACGGTCTGGGATTTGCTGGGTTATCCGGGGGTGTTGGAGCCCTTGGAGTCACAGACAACAGCTGTCACCAGAAACAGCAGATGTTTAAAGCCTTTATTTAATGAAAACAGGAAGCACCCATTTCCTGGCTGGTTTTCCTCAGTGAGAAATATTGAGGATAATTTTAGCAAAAGAAGGAATCTTTTAAAAATTTTTACAGCTATGTTATCTATAATAGAAAGCATATTTCACCCAGATTGATGTCTCTGGGGCTTGAGTTTTAATCATCTCTGGATCCTCGATGCCAGAACCATTAAATGTTCAATAGCTGTTTACCGAGTAAATGAATGAGCGCGGGAGGAGGAAGTACTGAGAGCAGTTGCAGGAAGTGTCCCCTTGGGCTGGAGGAAGCAAGGGCGGCTTCAGGAGTGAGAGCATTTCCCATGAGGGACATTCCAGGCAGGGGCACAGCAGGCAAAGGCGAGGAGGTGGGAAGGGATGCCAAGCACTGGGAACTATGAACACCCCAGTTGGAGTTATAAGAAAAAAGGGCAGAAAATTGATCTTGGAGCTCACTTGTGAAGGGTTTGCATGTCCCCGTCCAAATCCACTCACCTGACTATGTATAAAATCACATGTCCCGGGCCAGACTTCAAGGGACTTAAGCACAGAGATGGTCCACAATGCCCCACATTTGTAGAGCACCTTCTCTGTGCCAGGCCCCCTGGAGGGTCCGAGCAACGGGCAGAGCCCACCCAGAGCCCAGGGCCTAGGGGAATGTCTGTGAGGGGGAAGCAGATGCATAGCACACACGAGCATGAAGCAGGACGGGACTGGAGCACAGCAAAGGCGTCCAGGTCAGAGGGCCACTGCCCAGAGAGGAAGTATCTCAAGGGGGCCAGGAGGGTTCCTCAGGTGTTTCTAGGTCTGTCTCGAATCTTCCCACATTTGAGGCAGTTCACAGGACCCTAAAGTATCTGTCCCAAGAGTCATGGTAGAGTGCCCATCCATCCCACTCTCCCACTACCGGCTCCTCTTTGTGCCCAGATGCCCACTGCACCCCACCCCTCTGGACCCCACCCTTTCTGCATCCCTCCCCACCCCCAGCAGAAAAGAAAAGCCAGGAAGAGCAGGGGTGTGGATGCAGGTGCACACAGTCACTACTATCTGCAGGCCCTGTGCTCGGTGCTGTTCTGCCCTCGTCACAAAACTGAAGGATGGAGCCTGTCATCCCCATTTCATAGATGAGGAAACCAAGGCTGGGCTGGGAGCCCAGGGCAAAGCCCCGAACCCTCTGTCCCGAGACAAGGAAGCTTCTGCTGCACAGAGGCAAGTGTGGGGCCATAATAATTAGCCTCCTCCTTTGTCTCCTGAGCTCACTTGTTTGGGGGAGACCCAGAAGGTGGGGTTCCAAGCAGACAGAGTTTAGCTCCCTGAGACAGTCTTGAAAGCAGAAGTTTTTCTAAAACATGGCAGCAGTGACCTCCTTCCCGGTTCAGAATGTGCCATGGCTCCCAGGCCTGAAGGAACTAGTGCCAGCACCTTCGGACCTCAGGCCCCTCTCCAGCCTCCCTCAGCCTCGGCCCCTCCAGGCCGCCCTCAGCAGTTTGTCTGCGGGACCTTCCACCTGTCTGCCTGTGGGCCTCTTGGGACAGTCGTTGGCAGCCAGGACTACAATAAAGTGGTCATCTTGGTAGCCCTAGCCAAAGCAGTGTGCCAAGCACCAGAGTCTCAGTTAGTGTTAGCTGAACAGAAGCAGCTCAAATATCCACTCCTCCAGGAAGCTCTCAGAGATTTCTCCTCCCCACCCACCTCCTTCTAAAGTAACAGCATCTTCCTCTGTGCTCCCTGAGCCCTGGATACAGATCTTTACCCGAGACAAAGACCTTGCCTCCATACGAGGGTGCAGGCCTGACCCAGAACGACTGTGAAATATGTGGAAAGACATGATAGACTTGTTCCACTGTGCAGCAATCCGCCTTGGAGGCAGTGAGCTCCCTGTCATCAGAGGCGTGCAAGCAGAGGCTGGCCAACCATCTGTTGAGAACACCTGGGAGGAGATCTAGGCAATGAGAACAGGGTCAGAGTCATAACCTAAAGCTCCTTCCAACTCCAAAGCCTCAAGTTTCTTTGAAACAAATATAACCTAAATTATTTCTTTTAGGGTAGGAGCCAGATAAGGTATATGTTCCCAAAAGAATAGTGGTTTCTTCCTATCCTCTGGGACAGGAGACAGCCTGGGCTACAGTCATTGTGAGGACATGATAAACTATGTAAACAGGATCTTAAATATTCTACATCCCCACTCCCTCCGGCTCCATAAAAAGAGGTCACATTTGCTTATGTGAGCAGCCACTGTGGTATGAGACAGAGACCTTGCTTTTATGTTTTGTTTTTTGTTGTTGTTGTTTTTTTATCTTCACCCAAGGACATTTTTGCATTTATCCTGAGATAGGGCGGGAGGGAAAGAGGGAGGAAGAGAGAGAAACATCAATGTGAGAGAGACACATCGAGTGGTCACCACCCACACAACCCCAACCAGGGCCGGGGATGAACCGCAATCGAGGTACGTGCCCTTAGTGGGAACCAAACCCAGGCCTCTCTGGTCCACAGGCTGATGCTCCAACCACTGAGCCAAACCGGCCAGGGCCAGAGACCTTGCTTTTGTAACCCCCATCCCTGAATGGGCCCCAGAAGGCTCTTCCGTGGCCCTGGAAATACACCTAGAAGAGGCCGTGGTCAGCTCCCCTGTGCTAGTCCCTCGGTGACAGGGAGATCACCGCCTGCCCCCCCAGAGCAGGTCTCTTAGGGAACTCGCAGCTGGAGAGGCCTCCTTGCCTGGACCTGGACCCTGCCTCTCCGTGCCGTTTGTTCCTAGCTCTGCCACAAAGTGGTCGCTCTCGGGAAGCGGGGCTTTCTCTACAAGCGGCAAAGTGGAGCCCCGGAAGGAGAGTGACACCACAGGCTGGGCTTCAGGCCGGTCACTGGTGGTCAGAGTAGGGGAAAGAGGAAAGAGGGGCAAGGCCAGAGGCAGGGAGACTGGGGAGGGCCTGGGCAGTGACCCTGACTTAAGATGGTGATGTAGATAGGGTGGACAGAGGCCAGATATTTTCAAGGTCAATTCTTGTTCTTAAAATCCTTAGGGCACCAGGCTGGTGTGGCTCAGTGGTTGAGCGTTGACCCATGCACCAAGAGGTTGCCAGTTCGATTCCTGGTCAGGGGCACATGCCCAGGTTGTGGGTCAAATCCCCAGTAGGGGGCATGCAGGAGGAGGCCAGTCGATGTTCTCTCTCATCGATGTTTCTGTCTCTCTCTCCCTCTCCCTTCCTCTCTCTCTAAAATCTCCCTAAAATCTATAAAGGAAAAAAAAAAAAATCCTGAGAGCAGAAAGGGGACCAGCAGACGGGAGTTATCAGCAGTCAGGTTTAGGACCAACATTCTAGCTCTGTGTGTGCCAGGGCTCCTGTACAAACATCACAGACTGGGCGGCTCCAACAACAGAACTGTGCTGCCTCCGTTCTGGAGGGTGGAAGTCTGAGACCAAGGTGTCAGCAGGGTTGGTTCCTTCTGAGGACTGTGAGGGAGGATCTGCTCCAGGCCTCTCCCCAGCGTCTGGTGCTTTGCTGGTGGTCGTCAGCACCCATTGTCATGCAGCAGTGTCACCCCAATCTCTGCCTTCTTCTTGTGTGTGTTGTGTCCAAATTTCCCCTCTTTCTGAGGGCACCAGTCATGTTGGATGAGGGCCCACCCTAAAGACCTCGTCTTAACTTGGTTACTTCTGTACAGACCCTACCTCCAAGTAAGGTCACATTCCGAGGTTCTGGGGGTGAGGATCTCAATGTATCTTTGGGGGGGTGCATATTTCAGCCTGAAACAGTCTTCAAACTCTCTCAACAGTGGCTTGGCAGGTTTAGCTCCCTGAGACACCTCCAGGATCGAAGTGTGCAGGACTTCGGCACTGAGGTGTGCAGAACTGGGGTGTGGGGCTCGGCCCCACCAGGCCTGAGAGTCTTCAGTGCTTTGGTCTTTTAGAACACAGGATTTTCTGCCCTTGACATGTCCTCACCTGCTCAGAAATGTTTTGCACCAAATTCGCTGTTACTTTATTATCTGTCACTATCCATGGGTAAGAATCTTGTTCCGTTGATCTGTGTTCTGGCAGCTGAAGGCTGGTTTTTGCATCCTAATTGCTGGCCAAATCCACTGCTCTGCGTAGGGTTGGGACTGGGTGAGGGGGCTCGGTGGGGGACCGGGAGAGGCCTTGCTGGCTTCGGATTGGCTAGCTCTGCCTGGCCTGATTGGCCCAGATGTTACTCCATCAGTACAGAGAGGGCAGGAGGCAGTTTTTATTCTCACAGGGAAATGTCATATTTTACATGAAACATAATCATTTGCATTTATCCTAAGCCAGTGTCATGTTCTATAAATAAAATGCCCCCAAATCCAATGCCCCCCTAAAAAAAAAAAAAAAAAAATGAAAATACACAAACATGTTTATCATTGACTTTGCAGGCAATGTGGATGTGGATGAAGGAGGAACGAGACCCTGTGCAGTAGCAGAGTGTCCTCTGCTCTCACCTGGGGTGAGATCTGAGAGTGTTTACTGGGGTCTTGCTCAAAGAACTTGCCCAGGTCTGGATAGCATTGGTTGCATCCTAGGATGGACTATCATGGTTGATAGATGGTGGCTGCCTGGGACTCTGCAAAGAAGAATTCTGAGACCACATCAGGGTTTAATCAGATGGTGCTGTGATTGATTAACAATGCCTGCCATGCGCACAGCAAGGGTGGCCCAGGTGCCATCAGTATCTCCGGGTCATCTAGGCCCCTTCCGGTGGGGCAGCCTGTGAGCAGGGCTCACTCTGCAATCCGTGAAGGCAGGGTTGGTCTGCCCAAGGTAGTGCCCACCCCCATGGCTCCTGCCCTCCTTCCCAGGTCCCAGAAGCCATCCGGAAGTGCCAGCGGGCAGGCATCACAGTCCGCATGGTCACTGGCGACAATATCAACACAGCCCGGGCCATTGCCATCAAGTGTGGTATCATCCATCCTGGGGAGGACTTTCTGTGCCTGGAGGGCAAGGAGTTCAACCAGAGGATCCGCAACGAGAAGGGGGAGGTACGTGGCCAAGTGCAAAGGGTACTCAGAGGTATGAGCTTGGATGGGGGGCTGGGAGGCACGGGAACTGCATGATTGTCCAGAAGCCAGCCCATGTGCCAAGAGCCCAGTGACTCGAGGCGAGCCCCTCCTTTCTCCAGGCCTCAGTTTCTCTGTGGCCCCCACCGACCCGCCCCCTCCTGCATCCCTCTCCAGATTGAGCAGGAGCGAATCGACAAGATCTGGCCAAAGCTGCGGGTGCTGGCTCGCTCCTCCCCCACGGACAAGCATACCCTGGTCAAAGGTAAGACTTGGGTGGGCACAGGCCGTCCTGAGGCCCCGGTGCCAGGCCTCTCCAGACTTTCCTCCCTGGCACCTGCAGCTTCTTTCCAGGACAAAAGGGCTTTTGCCCAAGGCTTCCCACGCCTCAGGGACACTCTGACCTCATCCCCTTTGCCCTGCTGGAGGCCTCCTGGTTGTGAATCTTCTCTCTGAGCTTCACCTCCTCAACTTGCAGGGGTGGGGGACGCCCGGCCCGCAGGCTGCGTAAGGTCCACGAAATCAATACCAGCTGACATCACACGCATCACCAAATTAGCCTGACTACATGGAGTAGGCTAATTTTTAAGCTGATAATTTTGTGTGGCCTGAGAAGTAGGTTATAAATATCCAAATGGCCCTTGGCCAAAAAAGGTTCCTCACCCCTAAAGGAAGCAATGGGGCTGCCTATCTAGGGGCTAAACGCCATGGCCTGAGGGCTGAATGGGGCCCACAGACATGTTTTACTTGGGTGGGACAATGCCTTTTACGTTGAATTTGAATGACTACACAGACCCTGCTCTCTCACATTTGAGGCTTTCACGCTCCTTGTCTGACACTCAGCCCACTTCATTTATTTACGGCCTGTCTGGCCCCAGAGCTTGGAAGCTCGAGACCTTTACTCTGCTCAGTCTCTGAGGCCCCAAACCAACGCCTGGAAGCAGGACCTTGAGGATGGTCTGTCCTGGGAAGAGCAACCTGACAGATGAGACCAACAACCAGCACCCCCTTCCTTTCCTCCCTCCCTCCAGAGAGAGGCACACCCTTTGCTGAGTCCACCCAGGGGGCCAGACGCTGGGTATTTTCACACGGCCCTGGGTTCGAGTCCTAGCTCTCCCACTGACTTGCTCTGTGGCTTTGGGCAAGTCCCTCCCACTCTAGGATTCAAATTTTCCATCCGTAAGATGGCCAGAAAGGGACAGCTTCTGGCTGAGGTCATCCCTAGGACAGCTTGGATTCCTTTCCCAGAGGTGGCCCCAAGGACATTAACGGAGGCAGATCTGGCCTGGAACCAGAACCTCAGAGCTGCAGATTCCCAAGCAGGAGAGCCCTCCAACCCATCCCCATTTCTCAGTCACTCCTCCATTCACTCGTCTTGATACATGTTTATTGAGGATCTGCTATGTGCTGGTCTTGGCAGCCACAGCCCTTCCTGCTTGGAATTCATGGTCCAGGTTCCATCTAGCAGATAGTAAATAGTCGGTTTCCCTACACAGAGATAAAGGCTGCACTGGGGGAAGAGAAGGGTGATCTGGGACCCTCTGCTGGTGTCAGATCACAGGCCCTGGAGGTGGGTTGGGGAACAGGAGAAAGGGCCTATGTTTCAGGCAGGACAGGGAACTTGCACTGTGAAAGCCCAGAGGCAAAGACTTCCAGGCACCTTCTAGGTGTGGAAAGAAGTTCAGTTGGCTGGGCCAGGGCCTCGCGTGAGAGAGGGCGATTAGAGGAGGAGACCAGAGAGGAGGTGCCGGCCTCAGACCATGCAGGGCCTTGAACACCAGGACGGTGGCCTGCACGGTCAGCTCAGGCCGGGGGCTGCGGGAGGGCCTTGAAGGGAGAAGCGCTGTGTTAGAAAGCTCACTCCCTGCTGTGTGGAGAGTAGCCTGGAAGCGGAGGACCACCAGATTGTCCAGCTGGGAGAGGTGACCCCTGGATTGGGGTGGCGACAGTGCCAGTGGACTGGAAGTCAGGTCTGAGAGCTGGGCCTGCGGTTGTTTGGATGTGGGAAAGGAGAGGGAAACACGGGGTCCAGGATTCCCCAAGTGTCCACCTGTTTCAGAACCGGCTGCGTACAGCGTGCCACTGGTTTGTGAGGGGGCAGCCGGGTGTTAGGAGTTGTGAGAGAAGGGACAGATTGGAGGGGAAACTCGGTGGCTGAGCTGAGGCCTTCTGAAACCCAAGTGGAAATGTCTGGAAGACAGCTGGCCATCCGTAGAGCCAGGGCGCAGGACAGAGAGCTGGCCAGAGATGAAGACCCGGTGGGGTGTGCCGAGCAGGGAGAGCAGAGGAGCCGGCTGAACCAAGGACCCGCACGCCTGAGCGATGGGCAGGGGCTGCGATCTGTCTGCAGAGACCGAGGAGTGGCAGCCGGGGGGGGGGAGGACAGCCAGGAGCAGTGCTGCCAGGAGGACAAGGGACGAAGCCTGGCGAAGAGGAGGGGGCGGCCCACAGCATGAACGACTCCTGGGAGGGCTAGAGAGACAGGGTAGGGGTGTGACCGTAGGAGATGACGGCAGAAAGGCCCCTGTGACCGTGCATGGCAGGGCCACGTCAGGGGAGTGGCAGGGCCGTGCCCGCACTGGAGGTGGTGAACAGGGGTCTGGCGAAGGTGTCCTCCCAGCAACGCCCTCCCCTGGGAGCAGCGGGAGGGCTGTGGGAAGGTCGAGGCCAGCCTGGGGAGCCACAGACACAAGATTGGCCTTTCCCCTGCCTTGGAGGAGCACCCAGGCAGGCCAAGGGCCCCAACAGGGATGAAGGCCTCAAACGCCAAGTTCAAATGTCAAGTGGACAGAGACTGGATAGTCCTGGGCAGCGGAACAGCTTGGGGAGCAGCTGGGACGGCTCCTGGAGCACATGCCTTGGAGCTGGGCCTCGAAGCAGGTGGAACTTGGACAGCTGCAAAGAGCATGCGGGGCGTAGGGCGTGCAGCGCCGAGGTCAGGGTACACCTCCCCTCCTTCCACAGGCGGCTGCTGTCTGCCAAGTTCAGGCCCGCGGGCATGTGGATGGGGGAGCTGCCGTGATCTGATGGGGGCAGAGATCCTCTGGGGGTCACGGGCTTCCCAGAGACAGAGGCCTCTGAGCTGGGACTGCAGGGGTGTGACAGCTGGCTGAGGGAATGGCTTGTGCAAAGACAGGGTCAAGTGGAACCGGCTCCGCAGAACCAAGAGCCATCCTGCCGTTAAATCACAGAATCAGGGTGGCGGAGGGGAGAGAAGACATGACCAGAGAAGGGACGCGTTCTGGCCATGGAGGACTTGGTGGGCAGATCCGAGAACACAGATGTCCTTCTGAGGCCAGTGGGCAGCGAGAACTGCTCAGCTGGAGCCGGGGACAGGCTCAGGCTCGTGTTGGAAGCCCTGGGGCTGGGTGCGGATTGGAAGGGGGTCCTGGGTTAGTGAGGGGCGTGAGATGCTGGTGGTAGAGGGGTGGGGACAGAGGGAAGTGGAAGGGTCCCAGTGGGCTCAGGCTGCTCAGGCCTCGGTGATACATTTGATGTGCGGAACGAGAGAGGGACGTCGAGGTTGGCACTCACTGCCCATAAACACACCTGCCCAGTGACATCTTTCACCCTTCCTTTCCCACTGGCCCCAGCTCAGTGACAGGGGCCACAGGTCACCTGTTTGTTCTGTTATTTGTTGAGGATTTTACTGAGGATAAATGTCTAGAGAGAGATCAAGGCCAGTACGGTGGATCAGGGGTCACTGGCAAATGGCACAGCCCACACCTCCTCATCCCAGAGAGTGGTGCTGGGGGAGCCCATGGCAGGCCCCTGGCAAAACCCCGGAACCCCTGGAGCACAGGCAGTGGGGAGGCGATTCTGGCCAGGGGGGCTGCTGGTGTGGCCGTGAGCCACAGAGAGAGGAGAGGATGCTGGAGAGGTGAGCAGGCCTCGACCATGGAGGGCTGCAAACCAGTACTGGGCGAAGGTGCCCGGCATCCCCTACAGGTGCTGGGAGCTATGGGCAAGCCTGGGGCTGGGAAGAGCCACAAGGGGCGGGGTGGCAGGGCAGAGGCCAGAAAGAAGGTGTGAGGATCAGCACTGGCCAGATTGTCCCTGCCCCCTGGAGCATCCCAGGGCCCTGAGCACACTCCTGCCCCGCCCGCAGGCATCATCGACAGCACACACACCGAGCAGCGGCAGGTGGTGGCCGTGACCGGAGATGGCACCAATGATGGGCCTGCACTCAAGAAGGCGGACGTGGGCTTCGCCATGGTAGGAGCTGCTTGCAGGGGGCCTAGAGCAGCGTCTGGCAGAGCTCACGGGCAGGGGTTAGGGGAACATGGGCAGTACAGCCTCAGGCTGGTGGTGCAGGACCCCCCGTTCACACTCAGCCCACCCACCATCTACCTCGTGTGCCCAGTGCTCGCGAGGCTCAGCCTGGCCCCAGGGTCTCCTTGGAAGGGCAGAGGGAGGCTCTCTGTACTAATGGGTCCGGTTGGTGAGGGATGGGCAGGGAGAAGCTTCCCGAACACAGAGGGCCAGCCCGGGTGCTAGGTCTGTCAGGAGTAGGTGTGTGCACGCACATGCGTCTGTGTGCACGGGTGCGCATGCCGCATGATGTCACTGTGCTGGAGTTGGGTGTATGTATGGGGGGCAGGACTGAGGATGTGTAGGGGGTGAGGACAGTGTTGCTAGAGCTGCTCACCTCCTCGATTGACCCACCCAGGCTCCTGTCCCTGTCCCCACAGGGCATCGCAGGCACAGATGTGGCCAAGGAGGCCTCGGACATCATCCTGACGGACGACAACTTCAGCAGCATCGTCAAGGCAGTGATGTGGGGCCGCAACGTCTATGACAGCATCTCCAAGTTCCTGCAGTTCCAGCTGACAGTCAATGTGGTGGCTGTGATCGTGGCCTTCACGGGGGCCTGCATCACGCAGGTGGGTCCTCCGAGGGGCGCGCAGGAGGAGCATGCCAAAGCCTGGGGAGGGCGATACCCATCTGGGCATCCCAGGTTGTGGCACCCATCGGTGGAGTGCCTGCTGAGGGCCAGGAACTGCGTTACAGACCTCAGGGGCGGCACCAGCCGTGTGCAGCAGAGGAAATGAGGCTCGGAGATGTGGTGAAGTCTGTCCAAGGTCACCGGGCAGTGGGAGACGTCAGGCCGAACCCAGGCACAGTCCTGCCCTTGCTCCAGGAGGTGGGAGAGGTGATCCTCAAGGGAAGGCAGAGCTCCTGGCCATATAAAGGACCAGAGAGAGGGAGGAGCAGGGCAGGGCAGGGCTCAAGGGGGATCAGGCACCCAGATGGGGGACAAGGAGCTGACAGGGCCCAGGGGCCTTAGTTCCGACATAGAGTCTGTCAGGTGAAGCCTGTTTGCCTGGGTCCCTGAGCCGGCTGGGGACAGTAGGAGGGAGTCAGGGACTCTGTGTCACTGGGAGAGGCAGTTGTCTGTCAGATCGCACTCAATCTGGGTCTTTTTGTTGTTGTTAATAATCACCCAAGGATGTTTTCCCATTGATTTTTAGATAGAGTGAAAGGGAGGGAAAAAGAGAGAGAAACACCGATGTGAGAGAGACACATCAATTGGTTGCCTCCCGCATGACCCCGACTGGGGGCAGGGATCAAACCTGCAACTAGGCATATGCCCTAGTCTGGGAATCGAACCCACACTGGCCAACACTCTAACCACCGAGCCAAACCAGCCAGGGCTCAGTCTGGGTTTTGAGCAGCCCCAGGTCTTGAACCCAGGGGAAGTCAACCATAGGCCCCAACATCTGCGGCCTCCCTGCTTCCTCACCCAGCCCCATGCAGCAGGAAACAGTGATGATTCCCATTTATAGAGACAGAAACTGAGGCTTGGAGTATGGACAGGCCAGGGACCTGCCATTGCTCCCGTAACCTCCTGCCTCCCACAAGGGCCTGGGGAGGAAACGGGTACTCCAAGGCCCGGCCCCTCCTAGCGGCTTGTGAACAGACAGGTCCCTGCCCACAGGAACACCCAGAGGCCCAGGAACCAACACTGCCTCAAAGAGCAGTGGCCCTGGGAACAGTACCCCCTCTATTTTGTCCTGAGCCCGTGGGGATACACAAGACAGCACCCAGTACCCCAGCCCTGCGCGTCAGCGCCTGTGGGTTGGTGAAAGGGTCCCTTCTGCTTTCACGGGCCTTCCCTCCTGGTCTGTGGACGAGAAGCTCCCTCTGGGGTGACTCGGATGACACTCCCGCAGCATGGCAACTCCTGCAAGGCTTCTTAGAGAGCAGCTGATACAGATGGGGAAACTGAGGCTCCAAGAGGACTACCAGATTGCCTAAAGGCTGAGATGGAGTTGATGGCAGGGCCATGGAGACCTAGGTGGGGAGACCCAGGGCCCTCACCTGGTGCATGTGATCAGGGGAGGCTGGTGGTAGGAAGAAGCTAAGGGGTGTGAGAGCAGGATGTGGCCGCCAGGGCAGAGGTGGGGGAGTGCGCAGGAGGAGGGGCTGTGATAAATATCAAGCAGGTGAGTGAATGTACGGGCTGCGGACAGAGGAGCCTCGGGAGGTACCTGGAGAGAACAGAGGGACGAGGAACAGCACTGTCCAAGCTGCTGGGCTTTCAGGATCTGTGGGCTTCCGGGAGGAGGTGTTTTACCAGTGGAAGAGGCTAAAGCCACAGGGAGAGGGTTGGGCTGGAAAGAGGGGGATGTAGGTAGAAGGGGGGCCCCTGCAGCCAGGGGACAGGTGTAGAAAGAGAGCAGGGCCCAGGACAGGACCACGGGGGCACAGAGTAAGAGGCAGGGGAAGAGGAGAAGCCCCTGAGGGAGCTGGAGACAAAGGAAAAGGAATGTTTAGGAGGAGAGGGGTCAGGCTGCGAGGAGGAGGCAGTGGCCAAACGCCACAGTGAGGCCAGTGAGGCAGGGCTAGAAACTGGTTTCCTCGACTGTGACAACCAGGCACTGGTGACCTCAGGGAAAGGCGTCCTGAGGGCACAGAGAGGCCAGAGTCTGGCTGCCAAGGGCAAGGCCCGCGGGGTGCAGGGAAGGAGGGGCCAAACAGATTCAGCAACCTGGGGTGGTGTAGGCTGCGTGCTGTGGCTGCACGGAACAGTGTGGATATGGGATCCCCGTCCAGGCAGAGATGTGGGCGGGTCACACCAGACTGGACAGTGGGAACCCGTCGGTGGCTCTGTCACTGAGTTTTAGCTTCTGCTCTTCTTTGCTTGCCACATTTTCTAGCATGAAAATGCTGTTCGTAGAATCCTATAGACTCACAATAATTGCTAAGTTGGAGCGGGATACGGATGAAGGGGAACTGAGTGGCGGTGAAGAGCACGGGGTGTGGGCGCTGTTGGCAGCATAGGAGAGACCTGAGCCATGGATGGCTGAGGGGCAGAGGGAGGCAGAGGAGATGGGGTTTGTGCTGGAGACGGTGCGGGGGGGCTCGGCCTTAGCCTAGAGGTGAGACTCATGAAGTGGGGGAGGCAAGGATGTGGCTAAATTCACCAGAGGGTGGAGAGCTGGCAGCCATCAGCTCCATCTCCGCCTTGGGGGAGACGACAGCAAAGCAGGTCTGAGCTGTTCCCCAGGGAAAGTCTCAGCGGACATGCTCTGTACCTGCTCAGGAACCGAGGGGCAGGCCAGCCGAGGGCAGACCCACGGGGCAGAGTGGCCTCCAGGCTCCAGCAGGAAGCTGCTTAGACCCCAACGATGAACCCCACACTGGGCGCTTGGTAGCAGCGGGTGGGGCTGGCCTCCCCCGTGACAGCCCTCTCCGTGGTCGCTGTCCCCAGGACTCCCCTCTGAAGGCCGTGCAGATGCTCTGGGTGAACCTCATCATGGACACATTCGCCTCACTGGCGCTGGCCACCGAGCCACCCACCGAGACCCTGCTTCTGAGGAAGCCTTACGGCCGCAACAAGCCCCTCATCTCGCGGACCATGATGAAGAACATCCTGGGCCACGCCGTCTACCAGCTCACCCTCATCTTCACCCTGCTCTTTGTCGGTGAGTCCCCCACCACCCCCTGGGGACACGGTGGCCCAGACCCAGCGTTCTGGATGCACGTTGCCTTCCTGTTTTCCAGTGGGTGATGGAGGCCCAGGGAGGTGACGTTAGTTGCTCAAGGTCACAGAGCAAGTCTTGGGCAGAGCCAGGCCCTGTCCTGCGTCTGGCCAACCCCAAAACCAGGGCTTCACCCACTGACAACAGCTCGGAACACTGAGTGCACACGTGCACGCGGTGCCGCCTGCCGGAGATGACCTCACACCAGCCCCATCGGAGCCTAGGCTCTCGGGGAAGGAACTGGCCCCTTCTCCGACCCATTCCCACACGGTGTCCTTGCCCGTGGAAGGTATCCTCAGCCAGGCTTCCTCAGGGAACTGCCACACGCCTGCCTACCCACCAGTTACCTCACGACACTGTCATTTAGGTTGCCAACCACTCCGTGAAGCAGGCACCTTGCCATCCCCCACAGTACAATGATAACGCCAAGCACAGAGAGGTGAGGGGACTTGCCCAAGGGCATGCATCGGTCTGCGGAGGAGCCTAGGCAAAGAACCAGGTCTGCTGGGACTGAGACTGGCCTGGTTTCCATGGGCTCTTCAGAGATGATCCAGGCAAAGCCTACCCCCGGGTAATAGATGAGGAAATAGAGGCTCAAAGAAGGGAAGAGTTTTGCCCGTGGTCACAGCAGGTCGGCGCCAGCCGGGAGTCCCCTGCCTGGGCAGGCTCCTCCACGTGAGCCTCCTCGAGCTGGACTTTCAACGCCAGCAGCACTTGCCTTCAAAGTCCAGAGTACAGATGCGGGTGGGGCGGGCATCCTGTTCCTCAAAGCACAGTCCCGTCCATACATTTCAAAGGTGATGTGTTGGCAGGACTGTTGTAAAGACCTTGAAAGCCTTGGAGGAAGCACAGGGAGGCAGAACTCGGAGAGACTCGCAGCAAAGCCGCGGGGCGAGGGGAGGAGGGCAGCCCCTGGGCTGACTTGGTGGCTTTCCCGCTCCAGCACTTCCCCTCGGTGCTCTTGGATTCAGCTCGACACTTCACACTCAGAAAACCCGAAAGCCCTCCTGGCACCGCCTTCCATAGGACCCGTCGGCAGGTGTCCACACAGTGCCCGGGCTGCCGTGTCCTCCAGCGTGTGACAGCTCAGCTGGCAGGGAGTGCAGCCACACGGGTGGGCCTGGAGCCAGCCTGGCCTAGAAGCCCCAACCTCCGCATAGAAATCGGTGTCTCTTATCGTAGCCCCATGAGCTTCCAGAGGTCTCAGCAAGGGACATGCTCAGTTACAAAAGCAGCACTTTGGGGGGAGCCCAAAGCCGTAGCCTCCCACCAAGTATTCCTAGTTCACCCCCAGTCCTTCCGGTCCAGATGAGTCTTTTCATCAGGGGTCACTTTTTATAAGCAATGTCGCCTGATCACACAGCCAGCATTCCACCTTTATCAGATTTCCATAGAAAAGTGGAAGAAAGTTCGCCCAAGGTCTTTCTCCCCTAGAGGACAGAATTTTGTTAGCCCTTCACTCACACCCACACTACCCAAGAGCACAGGCCCACCTCCAGAGCACAGGAGCTCCTCCACGCCTGGGCTGCCCACCCAGCCCCACCCAGCTCCCGCGCTCTCGGCTTGGCAGGTGAGAAGATGTTCCAGATCGACAGTGGGAGGAACGCGCCCCTGCACTCGCCGCCCTCGGAGCACTACACCATCATCTTCAACACCTTCGTCATGATGCAGCTCTTCAACGAGATCAACGCCCGCAAGATCCACGGCGAGCGCAACGTCTTTGATGGCATCTTCCGAAACCCCATCTTCTGCACCATCGTGCTGGGCACCTTTGCCATCCAGGTAGCCAGGCTGCCCCCCCACCTGGGCCTGGGCGGACAGCGGGCAGCTGGAGCCACGGTGCCTGAGAGCCCCGGCCTCTGAGCTGGCCCCTGATGGCCTGTCTGTCTGTCTGTCTCTGCCCACTTTGACCTCCAGATAGTGATCGTGCAGTTTGGGGGGAAGCCGTTTAGCTGCTCTCCGCTGCAGCTGGACCAGTGGTTGTGGTGCATATTCATCGGCTTAGGGGAGCTCGTCTGGGGCCAGGTGAGTTCTGGGCGGGGTAGAAGAGATGCCTCTCAGCAGGAGGGGGGAAAGAGCACTGGGGAAATCCGGGAGCCCCAAGAATGGGTCCCAATCCTGCCGGGAACTTGCTGGATGGCCCAGGACGAGGCCCTCTCTGTCTCTGGGCATCTGAGCAGTAGGAGTGAGCCCAGGTCCCAAATGCTTGTCATTTGGGTATCATCACTGCGATTTTTGCCATATATCTAGGTACCCCCAATCCTGTTACTATTGTCTCAATTGCGTGGTTGTTTTTTTTTTTAACTGAAACTTATTTCAAAAGGCAACTTTATATTACTAACATGAGTGGGAAGTCAGTATCACTTGTCATAAATAGAAGCTAACAAAATATGATGTAATGAGAACCATGTTATTAAACTCTAACTGGACGCCATGGCCCACCAAGGCTCAGAGCCTCAAGGCAGCTAGTTATTAAAAAGGGAGGTGAGTTGAGTGGTGCTCCTGGGAGTGTTGACGGGAGATTAGTAAGTGGAGCAGCACCAAGCAGAGGCCCCTTCAGAGGGAACTCACAGGCAAACTGCCCCATGGCAGACCTCAGTGCTGCGTCTGCGGCCGTCCGAGATCCTTCCGGCTTTGGGCACCCCTGGCCTGGGTGCTCTGTGGGGGCCCTTCCATGTATGACCCCAGAACATACTCCCACCAGTTCCCTTTTCTACTGTTGCCCACATTCCCAGGACACACACCCACACACACTCACACACTCACACACACACACTCACACCTATCACAGTGCTCACAGCTTGGAGGCTCCTGACCAGGATAGGGTGCTTGTGAGACGCCCTGAGCCAGATCCGGGGCTAAAGGGGCTTGATTCCCAAGGTGCTCTGTCATCCAGGCAGGGGGCCCCCATGGGCTTGAGACAATGTTCTTGCCTCCAAGCTGTTCCCAGGCTCGAGTGGGACATTCCAGTGGCCGAGATTAACTAGAAGATAAAGAAAGTTTAGTTTTATTCAAAAGAAACTTCTTTAAAGTTTGGGGCTTCTTTGGAGGGTTGATAAACGAGATTTGACTCAGCAACCCCATTCCCTGGGCCAGGCCATCTTCATCCCCCTGGGACCCACACCCTTAGAGAGCTCGAGGTGTCTGGGTGAACAGACTCCTAATGCCTATGGATGATGCCAGCAGGCAATGCCCACCTTAAACTCCCAGAGAACCCCTGAGGCCGAGTGTCCAGGCCAGCCCGTCTGTCCCTACAGGAGATGCAAGAGGCCTCTGACCTCTGCCACCCAGCTCCCCTCCTTGAGGGCCTGCCTCCCAAGCCTCAGCCCCGGGGACAAACCCTTTGGAGGAAGAGTAGGAATGAAGGCACACCCCCTTCTCATGTTGTTTTCCCTTGTTGGAAAGGCAGCCATTCCCAGAGTCCCCACATTGACTCTTCCCCAGGCACCCAGGCCTTGATCCCCTGTTGCTCATGTTGGGTACCCAGGACCCAGTGACCTCAGGAAGAGTGAGCCCTGAAGCCTGAGGGCCAGCCAGGTTCGTGTATGGCAACTTAGACATACCACCTCACTTAACCCTCCAGCCCTGAGAACTGCCCTCGGCTTTACAGACGGGAAAACCAGAGCTCAGAGAGGTGATATGACTTGCCCAAGGTCACATGTCCTGTAAGGTCTGGAGTATTCAAAATCACATCTGCCCAGCTCCTGAAAGCCAAGATTTTCCACCGTGTCCCCATGACTCTGGATGAGTGAATGAATTAAAAAGAAAATTAATAAGAAATTTAAAGATTAAATTGGGATGAGTTAAGGAGTGAATTGAGCATGTAAGTAGGTAATTAGGTCAGAGAGGGGAAGTTGGGGGAGCAGGGAGGGGAGCAGGGACTGAAGGACAGCCCCCGTTTCCCTGACGTTGCTGGGTCCCCTGCAGGTCATCGCCACCATTCCGACCAGCAGGCTCAAGTTCCTCAAGGAGGCAGGCAGGCTCACGCAGAAGGAGGAGATTCCGGAGGAGGAGCTCAACGAGGACGTGGAGGAGATAGACCACGCTGAGCGAGAGCTGCGGCGAGGCCAGATCCTATGGTTCCGAGGCCTGAATCGGATCCAGACGCAGGTACAGGAGGCTCCCAGAGCGAGCCCACGCCTGGCCGGCGGCAGGTGACGGAGAGGCACGTGCTCCACGCCTTGTCCCAGAGCCCCAGAGGTCTGGGCCAGACTCGCTCTCACCGTCTCACCAGCTGTCCGCACACCCACGTTCCTCACACGCACTCAGGTGGCCGCTGGAGGAACGGCGGCCTCCTCAAGATCGTTCCACATTACCTTCTCGGCCAGCAAGGGCTCCGACTGGGGTGTCCAGAGGGTTGCCCGAGAGCAGGGGAGGGGTTGGCCCTGAGAGCTGAGGTGAGTGAGCAGCTCTGGTCAGGGCTGCTGGGGGGCCTGGGATCAGAGCTGCAGGGACAGCGCAAAGGCTGGGGACTGGTCCCCGGGAGGCCGGGCTGGCGGCTTCCGGCCAGCGTTGACCTCAGATTCTCCTGGGTCCCGGGATCAGCCCATGAGGTCCGGGGGCTTAGATATATCGCACATGTCCTCTTTCTCCACCTTGGGCTTCCGGGTTTCCAGGCAGCTCTAGGGAGCAAAGCTTGGTTTTCCCCCCACACACACAGGCACACACGTGCGCACACCAAAGACACCCGCAGAACACACGTGCAGGGTGCATGTCCAGCACAGAGCTGCGTGGCTGCCACCTGCTACAGCCGTGCAGCCCTCCCCGCACGCCGCAGGCGCTCCAGGAGCGGCCTCTGCCTAGGTTGGGTTGGACTGACATCGTGCTTTCACAGACCCATGAGATGAGGCCGGAGGAGCCTGTGTAACTAAGAGGGTCCGTCTCGTACCCAGACCACCTGGGAGAGCGGCATCTGGCAAGTTTGGAGCCCCCACGCCATCACACCCTGGGAAGTGTTGCACAGTTCCACCCCGACCCTTCCTGGTGGCCTAGCGCTCATTAATAAATATAACAAACAGTCGGTCACCGGGGCTGCCTCACACCCACAATGCACCGTCCCAAACACCATCTCAGTGGCCGTCACCGCCCCCTGAGAGGTGACCGAGGTCCAGGAGACAGCCCTTTCTGAGAGCTGGGGTGGGGGACAGGGGCAGGTTTCAGACCCAGAGCCACCTGATGCTGCCTGAGCTTTCCTCCTCGGCAAGAACCCGGCACCCTGCCCTCTGGGGCAGCTCTCAGTGCACATGGCCCTGGTGCTGTCACCTGGCCACAAAGCCTTTCAGGGGTCTCTAGAGCGCAGGACACCGGGACTAATTTTTTGAGTAGGCACAAGTGCCTCCCCAACTTGGCTCTTATGGAAAACTAATGTGGACCAGGTGCTTTGCCACTCACAGAAAACCCTGCCAGGTAGGTGGCATTGCCCCTTCTGAAGGACAAGAAGCTACACTCAGAGAGGTGACTTGCCCAAAGTCATCTAGCTTGTAAGTGGCATAGCCGAGATTTGGACCAATGTCTGTCCGTCCACCCAGAGCCCCCACCATACCACTCAGGCTCCACACCTGTCCCCAAGGGGCTAAGCACCCCTCTTGCTTCTAAACACCACGTTGAATCACCCCAGGCACCAGCCAGCCCACTAGCCCCTGAGCCACTAGCGCAGAACAAAGGCCAGGCCCTGTGTCCTCCTCGGGACCCTGGGGCTGCAGATGGGCCCAGAACTGAGCAAACCTCTTTCAGAGCCTTGGAGTGTGTCTGGTACTTTTTGTTTTGATTTCGGTGCCGTCGTCATTGTTGCCGTGGCTGCGGCTGTTCTCGTGGCATTGCGCCTGTCAGTCGTGTAGCTGTTGTGTTCGTTCTTCTCGCAACTTGTCTCGTTCTCTCCTCCGTTGCAGATTGAAGTAGTCAATACTTTCAAGAGCGGGGCCTCCTTTCAGGGGGCCCTGCGGAGACAGTCCTCCGTCACCAGCCAGAGCCAGGACGTAGCCAATCTCTCTAGCCCTAGTCACGTGTCGTTGTCCAATGCTCTTTCCTCTCCGACCAGCCTTCCTCCTGCTGCAGCTGGGCGTGAGTGTGAATTTTTACCGCCTCGGGCACCACCGACGCTAGCGCCGGGCGGGCAGGCGGGCAGGGGCCGGGGCACCAAGGACATGGGGGGCAGCCAGTCACGGTTAGGCCCAGGGGGCTGAGGGGCCATTGTTGGTCAGAAGACCATAGCCAGTGATGGGGTGGCCCTTGGTGGGCCAGGGTCGGCTGGGGTCAGAGTTAGGGGTTACAACCAGTCAGTTAGGGGGTCGTGAGGGTCACAAGTAGTCAAAAAGTCTGGGTCAGTCAAAGGATCATCATCACTCAGGAAGGTTTCAGTAATTAAATGCCTCATTGCACTACACGGTCACAGCAGCCAAAGGAGAGCAGTCAGCCAGGGGGTTCAAGGTGTCCCAATCGGTCTAGGGTCATACTCAGTCTCAAGAAGCCTGGCTCACGAGGACAAGGGTCAGAGTTGGCCAGGAGGTCAGACTGCAGCCAAAGTCAGGCAAAGGGTTACCATGGTTCAAGGCCCTCAGGGGTCACAGTCAGTTATAGTGGGGTCCAGCCAAGAGAGGGCTCACTGTAGGTCAGAGGTCACAGCCAGTCTGGAGCTCCCAGGATATCACAGCCTGCAGGCCCTGCACCCAGTGGTTCAGAAGCCTCTGCACACCCAACAGCATCAGCTGCCTTACACACTCTTCCCTGCCATGCTGATGGTCTGACCCCTTCCTCGAAGGGACAAGGCCCCTAACCCATTCAGCCTGACCTCAGGTAGAAAACAGTAGGCCAAGCTTCACATCTTGGCTGAGTCCAGAAGGCCCTGAGGGATCTGGTCGAACCCTTGGCTTCCTGCCTTCCTTACCTCAGAGGTAGCCAGGGACTCTGACCCCCTTCATCATCTCCCTCCTCCTTCATCTTCTTATGCCACCACTTTTGACCTGGGTCTCTCATCTCTGGCCTTGTCCAGAGCTTTCTGAATCCCTATGGCTTCAGGTCCCAGAGGGAATAGGAAGTCTCTATTTACCACCTGCCTCTCTTTCCTTATCTCCAAACTGCAAGAGAGCCCGATTCTGGTCTTCGCAGATCGCCACAATGTATCCACTTAGTCAGCCCTTGGACTTATTTGGGAGAAATAGACTCCAGCCTCATCTCTTGATACTTTTTTTTTTTTTTAATATCCTCACCCGAGGACATTTTTCCTTTTTTTTTTGTTCAGGTAGAGTGGGAGGGAGAGAGAGGAACAGAGAGAGAGAGAGAGAAACATCGATGTGAAAGGGACACATCGAGTGGCTGCCACCCGCACAACCGACCAGGGCCGGGGACAAACTGCAACCGAGGTACGCGCCCTTAGCGGGAACCGAACCCGGGTCTCTCAGGACCGCAGGCCGACGCTCTAACCGCTGAGCCAAACCGGCCAGGGCTCTTGATACTTTATAAGGTGCCTCTACCCCCATCCAAACATAGAACACCCATCACACACGTCCCAGGCCACTGAACAGGAGAGGATCTGTGTGCTAGGTGGGAACTGTGCCATCTGGGCCCTCCGGCAGGGGGCACAAGCCACAGAGAGCCTAGTGATGACATACGTTCATGCCCCGTGACCTTTCTGTGGATGCAGCCTGCCAGGTATGCATGATGACAGGAAGGATGCAGAAAAGGTGGGAGAGCCCCTTCTTGTTCATCATCACAAACCACAGTAATGGGGAGGCCAGACTAGCCACCGTGAAGTGCAGATGTATTTGAGCAGATGGTGTCCAGGGTCGCATGTTTGTGAGGCATCACTAAGGAAATCACTCAGGACAGGAAGCACTTTGGTCCCATCCTCTCCCCTTCACATCAGAGAGCCCTCGCCTTGGTGGGAGGCCCTCACCCAGCTGACCTACTTCTGCTTCAGCTTAGCTCTGGCCTTGCTCAGTGACACCACCTGTCTTGAAGTACTGTGACCAAAAATGTTCTGGCCTGAAGAGCCACTTGGGAAAGAACCCATTCCTTTGGCTCCTGCTACCCCTCCTGGTGACACCTGCATCTCTCTGGCTGGGTCTGACCACCAGAAGTCTAGCTTGAGTGCACACCTAGTTTTTTGTCCCACCCTGGTTCAGCCTCCTTGAAGCATCACAAAAGAGCCTCTCTGGCATCCTGCCTCGCAGCCTCGGAAAGTCTTCCCCGGGTTTACCCCCCACCTCTTAGCTTTCACAGCCTAGAAGGGAGAGCTCAGTCATCTCAAACCTTGGCAACTGAATGCTCATCACTTCTGTCATTTATAAAGCCATTCAGTAAGGCCAGTCCTGGGACTGTCAATTCTTAGTGCTTCTTCAGAGAAATGCCCATTTCTGCCCAGCCTTCACTTTCTATCTCTAAGCAATCTCCTTCCAGGCCAGATTGATCCCTTTACCCCATGGTGACCCCAACTTTGGAGCAGCCTTTGACAGGCGCCTGTAACCTTGACCCTTCATTCTCTCAGAGGACCCAAAGGGGCTGGTCAGGCACAGCTCCCTCCCCCAGCCACCACCTTGCCTCTCCCCCAGGAATCACACCCTCTTGCATTCCTACTCTCTATTGTAGAATCCAGCCTGTAATTCTGGGTCCCTTCTCGGGCCCTTTCTTGGGCCTATGGTCTCAGAAAGAACCTGACTGTCCCCCTGCCCAAGGGTACTGGTTCCACAGGGATCACAACCTCTGTGGTTTCAAAACACACATTTTAGTCAACACAATCACAATGCAAACTCTAAATAAATATCCTCTAGTTCCTCTTTTGCTGAAATAGTTTCTGTAATAATGTCACATCCTCTGGTCTCCAAGGACTCTGTGGTCCCGCTAGGCCCCAGGCAGGGTCCCTTCAAAAGCTGAAAGGCTTTCTTCTCACAGGCAGGTGTGACGCAGGCAGCCAGGAAATCAGACTGGGTGGGAGGACTGGGTGGGAGGACTCGGTGGGCTGCCTCTCGCCTCCTCTGGTCAGGATCCTCTTCCTGGGGCTTCTCCAGCAGAGGAGGGTGGCCCCGCGCATGCTGAGTCAGAAACCCCTGGGTCTGTGTGCTCTGAAAGAGTCGAACCTGGTCCCCTGAGTTATCAAGAGTTGGCTACGAAGGCCAGGGGCAGGGCAGTGTGTGCTTGGGCTGATTTCTGACTCAGGACATTGGGGTGAGGAACCCCCCACCACATCACACATCCCTCCCCAGCACCACTGTGAGATGAAGGGCCCCAGGCAGACCAATGCATGGGTCACAGGACAGCCCCATCAGACAGGCATCAGGAATGTTCGGGAGGGAACTCGGGTCTGCTCTCTCGCTTTCCTCTTCTGACTTACTCAAAATCAAGTTTGTTCCCCCAGAAGCTTAATAACACACCCCTAACACCTTATATTGAGCCTCACTCAACATCTTCCCAAGCAGTTGCCTACATCCTTCACTTCACATATGCCTCACAACTGAAATAGGGGGAGTGGGGATCTGCCAATACATCCATTTAACTTAGAAAGACACAGGCTCAGAGAAGTGGATTGACTCACCCAAGATCACACAGCAAGTGAGTGGCAAGAAGTCCAACTGCAAAGTCCCTCCTTTTCCCTACCATCCCTACCACTTCCCAGACAAGCACACAGACCTGGAGCCCACAGAGGTTGAATTTCCATTCCGGAACCAGTACCCACACCCACAGCCTCATCTAGCAAAAAAAAAAAAAAAGAGAGAGAGAGAGAGAGAGAAACAATCCTCTGGGGTCTAGAGACCAGGAAAGTTGCTTCTCTCCTTGAATCTCACCAGCCTGGCAGGGACGGGAAAAGGGCACCTTCCCACCAGTGATCAAGGACAAAATCAGCATCCAGCTCTTGGATCCAAGGCCAAGCTGCACAGACCCTCTGCCTTGTTCCCCTCAGATTCCTAACCCATCTCAAGCCACCTTTGTACTTAGAAAGTTTGTAGCAGACTCCATGCTCATCAATGAAAATCCTGCTCCTTCAAACCAATCAGGCCATGAGCATCAGACGCCTACCTCCAGCACCAGCCACTTTCTGGACGCTGCCCCCACTAGATAGAGCCTCTCCGACCCCACTGCCCCTTCAGACTCCAGGCTCTGAGGACTGCTGGAGCAAGGAGCGTGCATCGCAGGGGGGGGAGGGGGGGCGGGGGGAGCGTAGGCGAGGAAAGAAAGCTGGACCTCTCCTTAGCATGTTGGTAACTAGTTTAGTGCAGCCTTGGGGTGTCGAGAAAAATGGCTTGCTTCTGGGGAGGGTGGGGCCCTAGACCTCTCTGCTTTCTGAATATTCCATGTGTTTGTTTCCCTAGAGGGCTAGAGAACCCTGGACACAGAGTTCAGCAAGAGAGAGTGAAATTAAAAGAGGTTGTGAGTCTTTAACCTTGAGCCTGAAATGAATGTGAATCAATCCCAGACTCTTGGCTTCCTTGAAGCCGGGTAAACATTCGAGTATGTCGAACGTCCCAGACCCGGGCCTCTGCATTTCCTCAGAGCCCTCCAACAACAGGCCTGGCCCCTGCTCCCTTTGTGTGGATGAAACCAAACACCTCACCCCCATGCCCAAATGCGCTGGCTCGCACAGGCAAAACCCTATCTTCAAAGTAGGCAGGAAGGGGAGACGGAAGAGCTTTTTTTCTTCCCACATTTTTTTCCATTTCAGCCGCGGAGAGAACCGAAGTGGAGACTTGAGATGGCCGTGGCTGGGTGTCCCAAAAAGTCTTGTCCCCACAGTCTTGTCCAGAGCAGTTCATTCTTTCTGTTGTCTCCATGCCAGGGGGAGGGGGAGGGGCCTGCATCTCATTGTGTGTTGTCCCCTCTGCGTTGTCAGTCACATGACAGAGTCCTGCCACCATCCCTCCTCCTTCACCAGGCACTGTGGCTGGAATCTTATTACAGATCAGCCTCCGAACTTTCTGGGCACTAGGCTAGGCAGTACTATGATCATTAGTATTCCCATTTTACAGATAAGAAAACTGAGGCCTGAAACACCTTTTTTGTTGTTTTCACTTAACCAAGGAGTAATGACCCACTACTTATCAGGAGATCAGAATATTTAATAATCTCTACAGAGCCACAAATACAGAGTCCAAGGAGAAAGAAATCTCAGGCAGCCAACTGGCCAGCATGATGGAGCACCAGCACCAAGCGCAGCACTAATGGCTGGCTCTCATTTGGCACCTGATGTCTCTCATTTATTTTATTTTTTTAAATCCTCAGCTGAGGATACCTTTTTCCATATATCTTCAGATAGAGTGGAAGAGAGAGAGAAATATCAGTGTGAGAGAGACACATCGATTGGTTGCCTCCTGCACCACCCCGACCACGACCGGGGACTGAACCACCACTGAGGTACGTGCCCTTGATTGGAATCAAGCTCGAGACTCTTTGGTCTGTGGGCCGATGCTCTACCACTGAGCCAAACCGGCCAGGGCTCTGATGCCTCTCATTTAAACCACGATTCCAAAAGGCAGGATTCCCTGGAGTCCCTGCCCAAATCACATAAGAAGGAGACGGACAGAGATGCTTTTGAGAAGACAAGGAAAAGTCAGAACTAGTAAGTGATGGCCGACATCAAAGGAGAAGAACTTAGTTTAAAAAATCAAAACTGTGGGATCTTATACAAGACCAAAAAGATTCTTAACAGAGTTCAGTTCTTCTCTGTGTACTCTAAATCAAAAGGCAGGGGAGCATATAATGTGCTTTAGAAAAACTCCCCTCTGAGCTCTGACACATAAAACCATCAGCCACAGTCATCAAGAAAATTCATTTCCATGGACAGGCCTTCCCACCTGTGCCCCACCAAGGAGCTGCCTGGAGTTCACTGAGAGTTCCACAAATCCTAGGGCTGCAAGGGCCTCGCCCTGTCCTCTGCCCTCACAGGCCATGCAGGTGCCCTTGGGACCACAGCCACCTCGGCTGAGGCTCTGCTCCTTGGAGGCACAGATGCTGCCTTGTTTTTCCCCGCCACTGGCTCTGATGTGAGGTCAGGCTAGAAAAAGAGAAAGAAGCACCTTTGTCCCAAGTCCCTTCAGCCCCTTGAGATAACAATCACAGCTTCTCCTCCTAGGAGTCCAGAGGAGGGACCCCTCTCTTCAAAGTGAGGGTCCTGTTCCTCTGCACCCCGCGAGGCAGGACAGAGCTCTGATGGCCAGTGAGGGAGTGTGGCTTATCCACTGTCAAGGCACCCGAAGTGGCAGAGCTAGGACCGAGACTCCAAGTCCAGTGCTCTTTCCACTAGCCCAGAAGACACAATGCCTCACTCCTTCCATTCCTCAGAGAACCACAGGTTCCAGCTGAGATCCAGAAAATGGAAGAACTTGCTATTTTGAGCTCAGTTCCCCAACCCCCCTTAGGGCCCCACCCAGGGCTGGGTTTGACTATCTGATTCTGGCCTCATTTTTTGGTTTTGTGTTTTCAAAGCACAAATAAAACAAATACCCCAGGAAATAAGGGACCCCAAAGCCAACTCCAATGACTGGCCAGGGCTTTGAGTCAATACTCGAGTGTTTACCTCCCAAATGCATGAAGGAAAGAAACGTTGGGCACAAACGACCTCCGTTCACATTGTCCAGGCTTCCAAGTGTAGCGTGTGTCTGTCCGTGTGCTGTGTGGTTACTGACGCCGCTGTGGCATGCTCCCACTCCCGAATGTCATCAGTCTGCCGGCTCCTTCGTGCTTTCTGGCTGCCTCTGCTCTGCTCCCCAGAAAGCCCTGAGTTGGCTTTGGTTTGCTTTGCTGCCTCTGGTTTGATGTTCCTGTTCTGTGTTTGGCCCTTGTGTGTTTTCTCTCAGCCTGGTTCATCCATCAGTCTCTGCTTTCTGTTCCTTTTCTGTTTGTGACATGTTATCTGTTCCATGTAATATGGTTTCTTAACTGCGTGTGGTTTTTTTAAGATTAATTTTTTTTAAATAGCCTTTTCTCCTTCCTATTCTGTTCCCACCTGGCCCCATTCCCCTTCTGCATGGTTGAACCTGCTTTAAAGTTAACAAGGCTCAGTCTCTCCCTAGGTCTGGGTGTCCGCCGGAGTGGACTATGCTTCCTCTGACCACTGTTTCCCATCATCTCTTTGATGGGGCTTGATTCCTCCTGTCCTAATATTGTAGTTTTGACCAAAACCAAAGCAATGTTGAAAACCTCATGGATGCATATCCCTGAGCCCCCCTTCCAGTCTTTCCCCTCCTGAACACCCAGTGACTATGGATTCCAGCCACCTGCTGTGCCCTAACCCTCTCCAACCTGACCCTCCTCCGAGCCCCCCAGAGCTCAGCGCGTGTGCGCGCACACACACACACACACACACCAGGGCGCTGCTTCTCACCCCTGTGCTTCCCTTGCAGATCCGCGTCGTGAAGGCGTTTCGTAGCTCTCTCTATGAAGGTCTAGAAAAGCCTGAGTCTCGAACCTCCATCCATAATTTCATGGCTCATCCTGAATTCCGGATCGAAGATTCACAGCCCCACATCCCCCTCATTGACGACACCGACCTGGAAGAAGATGCTGCGCTCAAGCAGAACTCGAGCCCGCCGTCATCGCTCAACAAGAACAACAGCGCCATCGACAGCGGGATCAACCTGACGACCGACACAAGCAAATCAGCTACCTCTTCAAGTCCAGGGAGCCCCATCCACAGCCTGGAGACGTCGCTTTAGCTGAGGACCCCACCGCCACCCACCTTCCCGGGCACCCACCCATCCAGGCACCCAACTCACTCAAGCAGCAACGAGCAACAACAGGAAACCAAATACTGGCGAGAAAACCAACGTTTCCACCCAACAGACCCTTTTTCTGGCTGCGATGCTGTTTGAACTCTTTTTCACTTGGAGGCAAAGGGCGGGATCTCCTCTGGGGGCTTAAGGGAATGAGCGATTTTCCCAGAACGAGCCCTTCCTGGCTCCCGCTCACACATGGACCAGCCATGCGCCCGCCCAGCCGCCATGTCCCCTGCATGAATGTACTGCACACTTCCAGTCCTCCCCTTGTTTGGTTTTGGGGGGTTGGGGAGGGTTTTTTGTTTGTTTTCTTAGGCGGGAACTGCAAACAAGACTCTTTTCTGAGACTATTTATCCAATCCACTGGTCTGTGATTTTTTGAAATGCTTGCAAAGCATGGTCTCAGTTGTATAGGTTAATTTAACAACTTTTTGAAATTGCAGAGCTTAACTCGCCTAGTAGATTTGCACCAATGGAACCGAAGAACTTCATAGACACTCACAAGGTTATATCCATTTCTTTATATCTATATCAACGTATACTTATTCAAGACTGTATACGTCCATATAGATAGGTAGATATATATATATATATAAATATATATACATGGATATATAAAGTTTCTTTGCCGGCATGTTGCCTTGTTTCTGCTTAAATTGCTCTATTTTAACTTATTTATGTCCTAAAAGAAGAATGTAATTTGTTTACAAACCTGTAGATAATGTCTTTGGCTACTTGTATGGTTTAAGAACACTGGTGGCTGAGATGCTATAAAAACAGCTCAGCCCAACAGACGCTTCCCTGGATCACATCCTTGATGTTTTATGACAGCCATGCTCTGATTTTTGCCTGCTATTTCCGTTCAATAATGTCACTACCACAGGAGGCTCAGGCAGAAGCCAAATGCCACCAAGTATCCATCCCGAGGGCTTTAACACCATGCTCCGTAGACAAAGGGAGAGGAGAGAGGAGGCTTCCTGGGCTCCGAGCACTAATGGCCAGCCCAGCCCAAGGATGACGGGATTCACCACACGTTTGTTGAAGACTTTTCTCTCAATGAAACTCGCTTGGGTTTACTAAGAGCATTTCTAAAAGAGGTTCTCTTTGGCACTGTCTGTATGGAGATTAAGGTAGTGTTGCAATATTATAAATGGTATTGTGTTGATTTTTTTTTTTTTTTTTAGTAATTTAGAGGTTTATTTCCTTATTAATTGCAGCATACGAGCTGTTCGCACATGGGATGAGGATCATTATGGCTTGCTGCTTTTATTTTTATTTTTGAAGAAGAATAGCCTTTTTCTCTGCACTACTTAGATCCGAACAAACCTTATGATGTGTATATTGAGATGTATTCAGTGTGATTTTTAAACCAAATTGTCTTCCTCTAGTCACAATATATACTGTAGCCTTGTATCAGCAAGTCCTGCTTTCCCGACAGAAAGCCATTCTGAAACCCTACAGTATCACAGGTGAGAAAAGGAGGTTGTTTTTCCCTCAAGACAATTACAGCACTAGTAATCCCACGTAATAAGAGCTTCTTTCATTGTATGTCAGCCTCTTAACTGCTAAGCACTTTGTGGGTATCAGCTTTTTTCATAAAAGAACTTTTGTATTTAATACAAAGTTTGCTTTGAGACTTTTCAGCATACGATCTTTTTCCATAAACTTGTACAGTGCAAAAGACATTTTGAATACCATGATCGATGATGTCCCATGCTTCAAGAAAAACCAAACACTTTCCACCTCGCTTGTGAAATTCATTCCTCATACCGACCTTCCCACAGATGCTCTGCATCAGCCCGGCCCCTTCCCTCCTCCTGGCCCAGAGAATTCTTCCACACACAAGATGAGAGCCACTCGGGAAAAGAGCCATAGTCAGCTGGGAGGGCCTACATCTGGACGACTGTGGAGAAACCTGAGGGTTTGGGATCCCAAGTCAGCCCATCCCACCTGGCGAAACCTTCCTGGAAGGAGGACCTTCTTTGCGCAAGAGCATCACCTGAATGTCGTGAAGAAACATCTCTGAATGTACCCAGCAGAGGAAACTGCATCCCCACAGGGGTGACCAGCCCTCAGACAGGCTTCTTGGATTCCAAAACACCACCACCAAAAGCCAGCCTACTGCTCTTCTGACTTCCTAGAAAGGAAAGACCTGCACATGGATAGCACGGGCAGTCTTGGAACATGATGGGTTTTGTAGTTTCCTTTCTCAAGGTTTTCCATCTCCCCCCATTCTTTGTTTCGGTCTTGTGTCCCTGACCTCGTTCCACGACACTGGGAAAGCTGCCCTTGCTCATCATGCTCCCTGTTTATTTGGAGCCCGGATGCAAGGGGAACAGGAGGGGTTTCTCTGAGTGGATCAGTTTGGGGAACAGGGAGCGATGGAAGCCACCAAGAATGCCCCGCATTAGTGTCGGTCTTTTCTTGTCAGGAATGATGGATGCTCACACACACACACACACACACACACACACACCCTCACTCTGACACTTGCACACACATCCATACACACAGGAAATGATTGGTTTGTCAAAACTCACTGTAGTACATAAAGCTTGCACTCTGTGTCCTATATCTAGCAGCATGGGGTACGTTTGGCAGTTCACCCCATTAGGGGGTAAATAATTTATGACCATTCATCTGTTTTTATGAATTTTTTTATCTAGACAATAACTGTAAATAAAGAACTCACCGTCTCTGTTCATTTAATACTATGCAATGCTTTCAATTGCTGACTCTTCTTACTCCCGCACTGTGGTTCTGAAATGGCTGTGGTTAAAAAAAAAAAAAAAGGCAAAAAACAACATCAAACAGAACATAGTAAATATATATTCTGTAACTAATACTTTTTTCTAGTTTGGGACTGCACCATCCACTTAGCTTCTTTTCTGTGCTCTGGACAAGGGCTCCGGGAGAAGATTCAGTTCTGAGGTCTAAGCTCACCAACTTGTCTCCCCCAATAGATGAGGGAGGAGCAGAGGCCCCATTCAGTGACCCCAAGGGCTGTGGAGTCATCCACCTTTGGAGGTAGGCAGGGAAGAAATCAAGGAGTTTCGCTCCTGCAATACAGGCAGCACTTTCCCTAACTTGATAGCTCCCACCAACCCCTGACCATGGCCCCTCGCCCCCTTGTCCCAACCAGAGCATAGAGTTGGCAAGAGAGAGGTTGCCCTGCTTCTGAGACCAGACCAATGACAGTGACTGCAATAGTGCAAGGACTAGGGATCTGTCTTATCCCAGCCAATGAACAGCCACTCTTTTCCCCAGCCATGTAGTCACCTTTCCCACACACTGGTAGCTGAGATGGAGTTGGGTCTATTTCTGGACTTTTTCTTCTACTCTCTTTCTGGGTACTCATCTGGCACCAGTCACACAATTTTAATTAGTGTTGCTTTTTATAATGTTTTATTATGTGGTAGGATAAGTACCCTTCACTCTTTTTTTAACAAAATTTCCTGGTTATTCTCTCATATCTATTCTTGCCAGTAAACTTTAAAATGTTGCAAGTCCTCCACCCACCTCAAATACTGGGCCCTGTGATTCTGTGTGTAAACATCTTCCCACCGTTGTAAGGAGAAACAAAAAGGGCATCCTGAATCTTGAGGGAAGGTCAACATTCATTTCTTTCTCTCACTTGTTCCCTAAGCCAGGGTGTCATTAGGAGAGGCCACTAACCCCTCCCTCCAATCCCAATTTGGGATCCAAAGTCACCCACCTTGGTTGTGCTAGGGTGGACCCTTTTTTTTTTTAAATCTTCACCTGAGGATATTTTTTCCATTTTTTTATTCAGATCGGGAGGGAGAGAGAGGAAGAGAGAGAGAGAGAGAGAGAGAAACATCGACATGAAAGGGACACATCAAGTGGCTGCCACCCACACGGCCCTGGTTAACTGCAACCAAAGTACATGCCCTTACCAGGAACCGAACCCAGGCCTCTCTGGACCGCAGACCGACGCTCTAACCACTGAGCCAAATCGGCCAGGGCTAGAGTGGACCGTTTATCTGCCCTGGTCCAGATAAGAAAGAGGAGTCTCCCCCAGACCTAGAGTTACCAGAATGTGTGGCCCAGTTGTCTGTATTTCTAATTCTCCTCATGGAGAAATGTTAATTCCCGCCTCCCTTTCCTGAACTGTTTTTTTTTGCTCTTTATTCAAAGTTTTCAGCGGTCATGTGATACGTCCTTTGGGATGCAGCAGTTTCTTGCCTGGACCTTCTCACCACTTTGACTCCCCCTACTGTTGTTCTTGCTCTACTTACAGGAGGCTGTCAAGTGGGCTCACTCTGCCATGCCTCCCATCCAAAACTCTCTCCATAGTGTCCCAGACGCCACCCTTAGAAGATCAGGGCGGGGGGCGGGGTGCATTTCTTCAAGGCTTTTGGGTCTTCCAGAGCCAAGGCCTAAATCAGACAACAGCTGAAAATCCCCATGTCCTTCTAAGCTCCAAAGCAAGCTCTCCTGATTTTGATGTAGAGATCCTATTTGCCCAAGTCGGGGGAGGGGGATACTAGGCCCTGGGTATCAGCCATCACCCCCTCCATCAAAAACAATCTATTTGAGGCTGCTTTGGGACTGCCCTTCTCAGTCCCCTAAGTGTTTTGTAATGCCTGTGGTGCTCTCTCTCCGAACCTTTCCTCTTGGGGGTCGCCACACTTTGCTAACTCTTGTGTGCACATATTTTATAACAGAGTAGCGAGGAAATGGTGCCGCCTTCAGCTTCCACAAGCTACCCAGGCTCTGGGGGGGGGGGGGGGGGGGCTCTGGGACAATCCGGGCTGGGAAGTGACTGTGCTCTTATTGTACACTCTTGATTTCTCTGTATCTCTGGCTTGTGCTTTTTGTAATTAATGGGATTTGTCTGCCTTTTCAACACTATACTGAGCAATAACAATAAATGCACACGTGGAAACGCAGACACGGTACACATCACAAGGCCTTTTTCCGAAAGACAACTGGGTCCCTGCCCTCGTGGATCGGAACTCAGGGGGAAACTGAGTCCCCGGGAGGGGAAGGCACTTTGCCTGAGGGTGCACAGCTCAGTGGGTGGTCGCTCTCCTTCCAGCAAGTCACACCTTTCAAACATCCACCATTTGAGAGAGACAAGTTTAAGCTGCCATGAATCATTAACCTTCTATGGGAAGCAGCTGCCAGTCTCAGACAGCAAGACTTTGGGTGAAGAGGCCTAAGGAGGGAGGAGGAGGAAGAGGTTCAGGGGGCAGAGGCTCTGGGAGGTAGGGGCACAAGTTGGGGAAAGCTCAGAATGGACTGATTTCGGGTCTGGCATTTACCAGAGCAAGGTGATGAAAGATATGGACAAAAAATGTAGGTGGCATCCCCTACTGGGGAGGCAGAAGGGAGACTGGCCCCCTAAATCCCAGTGTTGGTCCAAAGGTTGAGGGGTGCACGTGCACACACCTCACACGCACACTAAATCCCAGCTCTTCTTAGGGAGAACTGATCCCCAGTTTAAGCACCATAGGCCCATCCAACTTCCAAACAGTTTCACATCCAGGTCCATTTAATCCCAACATCAACTTTCAGAGGAGGTATTCGTGTAATACCCACTTAATAGAAGAGAAGACAGCAGCTCAGAGTGCTAAAGGGTGTGCCCACCAAGTAAGTAGGAGATAGAGCACTGATACCTAGCAGTCTATATGCCAGAATTGGCACTCAAAACCTCTATATTATAATGCCTTTCAGTCCCACCAGCAACTACCTTAATGAATAAGATACAGTTGCATTACTTGTCCCAAATCTCCAATCTCTCCAACTTCAATGCCTATACCAAGGAATTCTTTTAATAACAACTATGCATTGTATTTGTGGTACATCTAATATGCCATTGTTCCCATTTTCTACTCAAGGAAAGCAAGGCTCATGGAGAAGGATATGACCTTATCACCCAGAGAATCAGTGGCGCAAGTACAAATCCAAGTCCAGGGCCTGTCCCTTGAGAAACAGGAAACCCAAGAGCCCCCTGGCCCCTTTGTTCCCTGCTCCATCCTAAGCACCACCCCTTCACACCCTTGCACCCCTGCAGTATTTCTCCATTAGAGGGAAATAAAGAGTCATGAAAGCTGGGGTGGGGGTGACAGGGCGGTGGTTGCCCAGAGGCCCAGCCCTGAGTTCTATAAGACCCACACCCCTGGGCCCTCTCCCAAGCTCCTTAATGGTCTGGGTCTAGCACACTTTCTGAGACTTACCATCTTCCCTCTAGTAATGACCATGTCCAGCCAGGGTTCTTCCCTCTAGTTACAGGAGAAGAACCTGAGGAACTGTGACTTACCCAAGGGGAGCCTAGGCTCCAGCCTAAGTCACTAAACTCCTAAGAGAGGCCCAGGGCTGCCAGACCTGAGGGGAGCCCCTAGGCTCTGTCAGAGTGCAGCATTCTCACTGTGCTTGTGGGAAGCCAGGGACCTAAGGGTTATGAACACTGGGGGTTGAATCCTGGGCTCCAGCTGCAGAAGCCTGGCTGAGATTCCTCTTTGCCTGGGGGAATCTACCTGATGGGCCAGACTCACTGGATCCCAGAATTGGGAAGGGGCAGTTTGGAGGCATGGGTCTCAGGGCTTGGAGACGGCAGAGCAAGAGGGCTCAGCCTCTAGAAGAGGGATTCTTCTAGCCTTCTCTGCGTCTGTGGCCAGCCTTGGGTCCTGAGGAGGGACTGACAACAAGGAAGCACCAGTCTACCCAGTACCCAAAATATTGATCATCCTTCAGTGTTCATCATAAAGCCAGTCGCACCCAGAACCACAGGGAAACAGGTGAAGCTGTAGTTATGACTCTTTTATTTCACCTAAGGATCTCGGGGCGGGGAGAGTTCAGGAGAGAAGACCGGCTAGAGCTCCAGACACCAAAAGCTTTGGAAAACGAGAGATCCTCTGCGGGTCTCGCGCGTTCCTCGCGGAGAGGGGCGGGCCCGGAGGAGGGCGGGGCATTGCCCCTGAAAGGCCCGGAACCTTTGTGCGGGCGGAGCGCTTTGCTGCCCGGAGGCTCCGAAGCTACAGCCCGACCGGCCAGTCCGGCGCCGGAAGTGAGTTGTCCGTGGCGCCGCCGGGAACTGCCACGTCCGAGGCTGGGAGCCGCCGCCGCAGCCATGGTGAGTGTTGGGGTTGGGGTTGGGGACGCCGAGCGGGGTTCCGGCCAGAGTCGCGGCCGTCCAGGGCCCCTCGACCGCGCTGAGGTTCGAGCCCCGGGCGGAGGTGTTCACGCTCCCTTCCACCGCTTCGAGGTCTGGGGGGCTCCGGCCCTGCCTCTGGGCTCCTTCGCAGGCCGAGGCCGCGGAACTCTGCGGGCCGCGCTGCGGCCGCGCCTTTCGCTCCTTCTTTTCCTTGTCTTCCCCCAACAATTGAAAACGAAACCAGGAATTCGTAGGAACTACTGTATTCTGGGCCCCTCGGAGAAGCCAAGCATTGTTCGTAATCTCAGACTTCTAACAGCCCTTACAGTAAAGTAGGTACTGTTATCGCCACTTGACAAATGAGAAAGCCTCTCGCGCACTTGGCAGGTGGCAGAGCTGAGATTCGAACCCTTTTAACCTTTCCTTAATGATGTGTGTAGAACAGTGGCTAGGGGTAGGGCCTCCAGGTAGAATGGAAACTGATATAAGGATGAGCTGAATAAGGTCCATTCACAGTGTGCATTCGCTGCACACTTACTCCTTGAGTGATGGAATGGGAACTAATGGATGAGAGCATCTGGCCCGAGCCTGGCACAGAATGGAGGTTCAGTAAACCAATGCTCTCAGGAACTTGTGGGTGCAGCTGGAGTTTTGAGGAAACCTGGGTGAATGAACCCAGATGTCAGGACACCGGGTTTAGTTCTTGCTCTACATGGGAGCTAGGTTTTAAATCACTCATTTCTTAGCTTCTGATTCTTCAGCTGCTGAGAATTGGCTACTCTTATGCTCTGACAGCTCTTTCTAATTGAATTTTGAACTTATTAGGTGATTCTGAAGCGCTGATATGTTTTGAGGGCTGCCACTTACTACTTAATAAGGCCCAAACAGTCCTGGCCGGTTTGGCTCAGCGGTTAGAGCGTCAGCCTGTGGTCCAGAGAGACCCGGATTCGATTCTTACTAAGGGAACGTACCTCAGTTGCAGTTTGTCCCCGGCCCTGATTAGGTCGTGCGGGTGGCGGCCACTCGATGTGTCCCTTTCACATCGATGTTTCTCTCTCTCTCTCTTCCACTCTCTTCCTCCCACTCTATCTGAACAAAAAATGGAAAAATGTCCTCGGGTGAGGATAAAAAATAAAAAAAACAAGGACCAAACAACTTTAGGTTCTTCAGAGAAGGATTTTTTTTTAAAGGAGCATTTTTTTTTTTTTTTTTTTGGTGTTAGAGGGACCATTGTTCAGAAACATGGTTCACCAATTCTGTTCAGTGGTGAAGTGGTTAAAAATAAATGTAAGGAGCCCTGGGCAGTGTTGCTCCATGGTTAGAGCATTGGCCCACGCACCAAAGGGTCATGGGTTTGATTCCCGCTCAAGAGCATGTACCTGGGTTGCAGGTTCAATGAGGCAACTAATCCATGTGTCTCTCTCACATTGCTGTTTCTCTGTCTCTTCTCTCCCCCCTCCCTTTTTCCCTTCCACTCTCTAAAAATCAATGGAAAAAATATCCTTGAATGTGAGTTAACAAGAAATAATAAAAATAAACAAATGCTGGTTATCTCTAAGGTCCTTTGGTAACCTAGTATGAAACTACCAGTAAACTTTTTTCCTGGCTTTACTTAGCCCTCAGCCATTGATTTAGGGAATTCAGTGTAACAACTACTTTATGTTCTAGATAGGCAGACTAATGGCAGACTAATGGAGTGGGATGTTCTGTGGGCTGGGAGGTAGCAGGTGGAGCTCTTTTCCCAGCTCCACCTTTAGCCCTGTAACTTGAGTAAGTTCTTTCTCTTCTCTGGGTTTCTTCAGCTCCTTAGTCTGTCAGACAACTCTGATTAACTCTGCCTTTCATCCTTCCCAGTGCACATGTGAAAGCACTTGGTAACCTACATCGCTTGGTCCACCTAGGAGACTCTTCTTATCTTCTTTGCTTGCCTTTGTAGACCTTGGGGCCCACTTTTTAAGGAATCCGTACTTTGGTGAGAGAGCTGGTGCTTACTTGATGAGTACCTTTTGAACTGCTTTGTAGCCATCCACTTCCAGTGTCCACCTTTCTAAAAAGCCAAGTCAGACTAGACTTGCAGGGCTTGTGCTGAAAAAAGATGAAATGGAGAAATGGTAAGAAATATCAGTTCCGAACTGAAACCTTTCAGTCCTTTTCTCTCCCACGAGTTTTAAGAAAGTAGTGGTTAAGCAAAGTAAAACTGTTCGTTTTTGTTCATTTACTTATTCATTTAGCAAATAGTCACTGAGTTCCTTCTGTTTGCAAAGACGCTGTGCTGGATGATTTGAGAGGATTCAAAACTGCAGACAACAAAGACCCCAGCTCCAGGAAGCATGCCTTCTAGTTGGGAGAAGAAACAGCGTATAGTGTTGCAGCCATTTTAGTGCTGAAGCTATTCAGAGGAGTGCAGCCAGTTGGGGGATCTGGGAATCTTCAGAAAGAAGGAGGGCATAATTTGAGCTGGACCTCGAAGAATAGGTAGAAAGGTGATGACCATGGCAGCTGTGTTCCAGACCTACAAGCTGCTCAACCCTGGAAACCAGTAAACAGTCAAGGATCTGTCACAGGTTGTGAACCAGGGAGCAGCCTCAAGGGAAACTTGAATAAGTTCTTCAAGTCTTAGGTCTTAACCTTATTATGCAAAAAACTGCCTGTAACATTAGAGGCTCTGTCATCCAGGAAGAAAGCAGCACTCATTACTCCCTCGGTCTCTCTTCACCCTCAAAGGTAGCCAGGATTGTTTGCCATCTCCCCTCTTTGTTATGCCCTCTGCTTGGACTGTACCTTTTTTCTCCTGTGCCAGCTGGCAAATTCCTTATCGTCTAAGTCCCAGTTTGAGTCCAGCACCACTAGCCCTACAGGCTGCTACAGCACATGTAAACCACCATTCAAGTATTTATCTTGCCATGTTAGGGTTACTTGTGTGCAAGCTTGTCAGGGGCAAGAAGTACCTCTTATTTGTATCTGTATCTCCAGTTCCTGGCACAGTACTTAGCCAAAAGAAGGTACTCAAGTGAATGTTTACTGAATGAATGAATGTAGCCAAGAACTTTAGAAATGATTGGTGGATTTAATAAGATGATTGCATTCTAACTGCCATCAATTCATTTACCAATGATATCTTTGGTTCTAGGTATCAGTAATTAACACTGTGGACACCTCCCATGAGGACATGATTGTAAGTATTCTTTTAGCCCTCCCTCACGGACTGTGGATGTAGGCATTTCTGTGGGAAGGAAGCATTCATGAATCCAATGTGGCTTTGCAGCCTCGGCCAATCAGACTGTAGCCTCAGGGGTATAGTCAGTCTCCCAGCATTGCCCTCAGAGTTAGCAGGGCTGTGGCAGTCTGGTCATTCTCTAGTGGGAGGATCCTGGGACTGGTTTGTAGCTCAAGACCTTCATTCTTCTGGCCAACAAGGTAACCTGGTCAGGAATGGAGGCTGAGTAGGTACAGACAACAGTCGTTCGACCTTTCTCTTGCTGTCACTTTTTAGCCCCATTGAAAAGGGGGTTTAAAAAAGAGAATGGGAAGATAACTCAGTGTTAAGGCAGGGGGGAGGCTTGGCAAAAGCCCAAGGCAGAGCCAGGTAGCACCACCACAGACAGAAGTGCCAGACAAGGCCCTTTGAACCAGAAGTCATTAACTCAAGGTGTTTCCTGAGAGGCAAACACAGGCCTCAATATAAGAAGACAGAGCTGCCCTGGCCGGTTTGGCTCAGCGGTTAGAGCGTCGGCCTGCTGTCCAGAGAGACCCGGGTTCGGTTCCCGCTAAGGGCACATACCGTGGTTGCAGTTTGCCCCCGACCCTGATTGGGTCGTGCGGGAGGCAGCCACTTGATGTGTCCCTTTCATGTCGATGTTTCTCTCTCTCTCTTCCTCTCTCTCTGAACAAAAAATGGAAAAATGTCCTCCGGTGAGGATTGAAAAAAAAAAAAAGAGCTATGGGAGAAGGTTCAGAGGTTAAAGTCTCCCACAGTAAAGATGCAGACTTTGCTTCATGCAGTCCAGGCAGCCTTTGATCAAGACCCAAGTCAGTCAGCTTATAACATATCTTCCTAGCGTTTCTACCCTCCAGTGGTTGCTTTGGGGCGTCTGGTCTCAGAGTTGTATATATTCCCTGAATGCTACCATGTGTAGTCTAGCTGTAAGACCACACCTCCTTGGAAACAGTTGTACCATCAGTAAGAAGATCCAGTCTAAGTCTCCTTAGCCAATCTCATAATTCTTCTGAGCCAGCCTTGATTTCCTCATAGCTAAAATGGGGGGAATAATGGATATGCTACCTGTGTGGGTTTTTTTGTTTTTTGTTTTTTCTTTCTTGATTTTAGAGAGGAAGGGAGAGGGAGAGAGAGATAGAAACATCGATGTGAGAGAGTTACATTGATCAGCTGCCTCCTGCATACCCCCTACTGGGGATTGAGCCCAAAACCCAGGCATGTACCCTGCCTGGGAATCCATCTGGGACCTCTCAGTCCATGGGACGACACTCAGTCCAGTGAGCCACACCAACAAGGCTGTGAGTTTTACTTGAGGAACAGATAAGGCAAAATAGTAATGATTAATGTCTGCATGCTCACTAAGTGTCAGATCCCATGCTGAAAACTTTTCATTCATTATCTCATTTAGCCTTCATAACAACCCTTGAAGGAGGTGCCATCATTAGCCCCATGTAAAGATAAGGAATCTGAGGTTCAGGAATATTAGGTAATTTTTCCAAGCTGAGGAGATAGAATTTAAATCTGTTAGATACTGTTCCCCACTTCCTTCCAAAGTGTGTGATAGCACTCTACAGGAGAAGCACTTCAGAAGTACATTTACAGAGATCTTACCTAACACCTGCACTGCCTTCCTAGAAGCGGAGACCAGGAATAGTAGAGAAGATTGACTTCCAAAGAAGAATTGGGATGTTTTCCTTAGGTGGGGAGGTGAGGAAGGAATGTTGAAGCAGATGAAATGATTGCTTCCATTGAAAGGGTATAATTGCTCCTGATGACCACAAGAGTGCCAGTTAATAGTTCTTGAAACCCTCAAGGTAGGATAGCTGAAGAAAGTGCCATCTGTTGGAAGAGGAAGGAACAGCAGGCATAGTGACGGAGGAGCCATCACCCCGAATGGACAAGGAGCTGTGGGCAGGGCCAGCCCTAGGTGTGGTTAGTCAGTCAGCATCGCAGCATCTGTTTATCAGTGGCAGTTAAGGCATGCATGAACAGTGGGTGCTCGGCACATAGGAACAAGATGAAGTGGATACCCAGAACAAAGGGTCCACAAAGGATCCAGGGCCCTGAGTGGAAGAAGGAACACGATGTCTAAATGGAACCCTGTGTCGAGGCCTGATGTGCATCATGGAGTACCTGACTGGGACCTACCGGCAGTTGGAGGCCTCCTCCCTTGGGTCAGCATTAGCCCTTGGTCCTGGGCTGAGCTAAAAAGCTCCAGGTATCATCCCCAGTAACTCACAGAGCCTCAATACGGGTTGGTGAGAAGGGGCTGAGGAAGAAGAGAGAGACTAGGCCAGCTTTTTTTTCTCCCATACCCACCCTGCAGAACAGGATGGGAAAGGACTTCCCCATGTATCTAAAAGGTCTAAAAGTAGTTGGGTATGGTTTGTCTTGTCACTTTCAGAACGATATTGCATGTCAGAGAAATGAAAATGTCGACATGCTAGCTTCCTGCCTCATAGTGATGATACTTTGAAGTTAGATTAATTTCAGGTAGATTCTGGCCCAAACTAGACTATCTGTCCTGGTGACTGCCCACCCCCCCCCCTCCCACCCAGCCTGCAGGCTTCCTGAGCTGTCCTCCCTTTGCAGCATGATGCCCAGATGGACTACTATGGCACCCGCCTGGCAACCTGCTCATCAGACAGGTCCGTCAAAATCTTTGATGTACGCAGCGGAGGGCAGATCCTCATCGCAGACCTCAGGGGGTGAGTGTGGCCAACCCTGGGCAAGGTCTCAGAGAATGAGTGGGCTTTTCAGTCCTGGTAGGAAGGCCTGAGAGCCAGATCAGCACAGCCCCGCAATAAAGTTAGCAGAGAGGACACCCAGCTCCCAGCCAGCCTGCTGCCCTCAGCAGATACCCTGGGCTGATGGATCCAGGAATGAATCCGGCTCTGCCACCCAGGTACCCACTAGAAGATCTTGGATGAAAGTCAGCATATCACTGGGAGCCTTCACCCGCTCTCCCTCACAGTGGACTGGTGCTGTCTGCTCCCAGGTAGAGTAGAGACTGCTCCCAACATGCCTTCCTTAGCTACTGCTACTTTTGAAAGTGGGAAACTCCCCCCCGCCCCTAGTTTAACTAGCATGGTTTAAGTGTCACTCAAGGGTGGTACAAATTTAATGGTAATCATATAAATCCCATAATTCTGCCTGTTTGCCCATGGCAGATATTAGTGAATATTCACAAATGTTTACCCTTCCTCCCCATTGAGATTCTTGAGATCCTGGCTGTCATTTTCATGGCCACATCTCTATTGCTTCCCCTCAGTTCACTGCCTTTCAAATAAATGTTTTTTTAACCTGGATCCCATGGATCTCCAAGGGTTCCATGAATAGAATTCAGGGGTTGGTGAACTAGGGCAGGGGGAAATCATCATCTTTATTTTTAGTCACTGATATTTAGCATTTCCTTCCATTATGGATATAGGCTGAAAATCAAAGTAGTATTCATAGTACCTATCACTTTGTTACCAGTGGAAGTCAGAAATCTACATATCACATTATAGTTGTTGTAGTTATCTCAAAATAGCATTCATGCTCATTAGTGCTTTGAAATGAGAGTGGTGTGACATTAGGCCTACCACTAGACGTGCACACGTGTCATTGTGTTGTAAATTATTCCTTAATGTTATTTATTTATTTATTTATTTATTTTTTAATCCTCACCCGAGGACATTTTTCCATTTTTTGTTCAGGTAGAGTGGGAGGGAGAGAGAGGAACAGAGAGAGAGAGAGAAACATCGATGTGAAAGGAACACATCGAGTGGCTGCCACCCGCACAACCGACCAGGGCCGGGGACAAACTGCAACCGAGGTACATGCCCTTAGCGGGAACCGAACCCGGGTCTCTCAGGACCGCAGGCCGACGCTCTAACCGCTGAACCAAACCGGCCAGGGCACCTTAATGTTTTAATAACTGTATTTCAGTATAATTGGGTTTCTTTTCTACTCAAATACAAATACTCTATGTATTTGATCCATTGTTCTAAGAAGGAGCCATAACCTTCACCAGAATTTACAAAAGAGTTTAAAAACCCCTAACAAGTAGGTGCTCAATACATGCTTGCTATCTGAATTAAAGAAGACAACCTGTCAGCCACTTGGGGAGATAGTCCTTTCTTCCCAAGTATCCAGAATCAAGTAACTGAGGAGCCAAATGCCACTTTCCCTGTGCAGCAAACCCTGGCTAAGCAGAGAGCTACTAGGGTAAGGCCTGGCTGCCAGCCTGGCAGAAGCGATCACTTCAGCTGCCACTCAATCCTTTGTGTTCTGTGTTTTTCTCATGCTTAAAAGGTGTGAAATATTGGAGGGATAATTCACACCTCCATTTTTTTTTTTGCTTTGGTTAAATCTTTGCTAGGTGTAGGACATTTGAGTGAACTGAGAGTTTCATTAGCAGCTCCTTTGTAAGGACTGGGAATGTCCCTGTGTTGCAGCCTGAGCGAGGAGGAGAAGTTGAGTGCCTACAGCCTTGGGGTGGAGGAGTAAACAAGGATAGCAGTACTAGCTGACAGGCATTGAGTGGTTTGTTTGTTTGTTTTTAATCCTCGCCCGAGGACATTTTTTCCATTTTTTGTTCAGATAGAGTGGGAGGGAGAGGAAGAGAGAGAGAGAAACATCGATGTGAAAGGGACACATCGAGTGGCTGCCACCTGCACGACCCAACCAGGGCCAGGGACAAACCGCAACCAAGGTACGTGCCCTTAGCAGGAACCGAACCCGGGTCTCTCTGGACCACAGGTTGATGCTCTCATCGCTGAGCCAAACCGGCCAGGGCTGGTTTTTTTCTTATACCAAGCAAGCTCTTTATGTGAGTTAGCACAAATATTTCCCCTCATGACCATCCTATGAAAAAAGTCTTGTTGATATCTCTATTAAGAGGCTAAGCCATGGAGAAGATGGTCCTTCCTAAAGTAAAACAGGTGGTGAATGGAGAAGGCACGTAAGAGAACCTGGCCCATCACCTGTAAGCCAAGCTACCTGGGTGCCCACCCTTCCCTGAACCCAGAGATGGCCCCAGTACCAAGCCTGGCATAGGGTACATGTTCAGATGATACTTAGCATGTGAACACACAAAGATCAGAAGATGAGAGAGAGACATGTCTTTTGAGCAAATTAAAAGAAAAGTAGAAAATATCGAAACAGAACGGATACTGCTTCAGGAAGTTGACCATTTGGAAGGATGAATAATTCACCCTACAGATACTGAGCTCTTGTGGGTGTTAAACCTAGATTGATCAGTGACTGCTGATGACAATAGATGTCGGTGTTGCTGGCTGCAGTCTGGGCGGGTGAGGCTTCTGCCGGGTTGGGCTAACTTAGAGTCCTGACTCACTTTCAAAGCCTCTCTGTCCTCTGGGCCTCGAGATTCTCACTGCTCAATGAAGGTCCCTTTTGGCAGTGACATTCTGTCTCTCCGTTTTGAAATTCTTAGGCAGTTCTGACCTGAGACATACTCTGCCTACCAAGGAAGCCATTTAGCTCTGTCCAAAGAAGTGGTCGGCAGAGCCCTGTGGGTTCCTGTGGCCCATCTGAGCAACCTCTGACTCTCTCCCCTTGCAGTCATGAGGGACCTGTGTGGCAAGTGGCCTGGGCCCACCCCATGTATGGCAATATCCTGGCGTCCTGCTCCTATGACCGGAAAGTCATTATCTGGAAAGAGGAAAATGGCACCTGGGAGAAGACGCATGAGCACACGGGACACGACTCCTCAGGTACACTGAGTGTGGCAGGAGAAGGTGGGTGGGGGGCCCTTGGGTGTGTGAGAAAGGCCTCTGTTCTGGCTAATGCTCTGGTTCTTTTCCCCTTGTGATGCTTCTTGTTTATCCCTTGGATTTTGGTTGGCTTTTTTGCTGGTCGTCCACGTGGGACATAAGGCCCTAAGACCTAAAGTCAGTCCAAAGCAAAATGAAAAAAGCAAAGACAATACAATTTTTCAAGGTTTATTCATTTTAAGTACTGGCCTTTATTCTCAGTATTGTCCACCTGCCCTTTTTTTAAGATAGACATTAGTTTAGGAAATGATGTTAGTAGGTGGTGGGTTTTTAATAGATCTCTTCAGTTGACAAAGTTACTTACAACTTATCCCTGGTGATCCTGCACGTTCTTGTTTTTTTTTAGTAAAATGGTAAATCTGGAAAATAAAAGTTTGCTCACTGTGCCTCCCTCCTTCCTGCAGTAAATTCTGTATGCTGGGCCCCCCATGACTACGGCCTAATCCTGGCCTGTGGGAGCTCGGATGGGGCCATCTCCCTGCTGACCTACACCGGGGAGGGCCAGTGGGATGTGAAGAAGATCAACAATGCTCACACTGTAAGTCCAGACCCTGCCTGCACGTAGAGGGTACCTCTGCTGACTTGCCATGTGTCTCCTGTAAACCCCCTAGAGAGGGGCAGGAGTCCTGTCGCTGCTGTGCAGTGGGGCTGCTAATCAGACATGCTTGGTAGAGCAGCTTTGAGCTTCTTTGCTCTGAAGCCAGACAAAGCCTGCATCCAGGAAGGCCAGGAGTTAGCACTGTCTCCTCCTTGCAAGTTCCTAAGTTGGAGAAGACTAGGACACACTGGCAAGGTGGCAACAGCAACCTGCCTACCTGCCACCTTTGCTATGGATACCTCAAGTTGACATGCCTTGTGGTGGTCATTGCATCCCCCTGGAACTGAGTGGTATTATACGAAGCATCATAGGAATTTAGATTCCTGTACTTTTAATCATTGGACATTAAGGTTGAAGTCAGTTTCACCCAATGCATGGATCCACAGCCTGCCTATCTCTCAAGGTCCCAGAAGCTTGTCTCAGGGTCTTGTCACTTGGGGCTATATGATCCCCATCTGCTGACTAATTTGCAAAAATGAATAGGCTGAGAGGTTTCTGGCAAGTTGGTGGGGAGGAGCATCCTAATTTTTCAATGTTTCTACATCTCTATATAAAACCAGCACAGTAACTAAGGTAGCAAAACCAAAACCTCATGAACACAACAAAACAGGGTAACAAGGTATTTTCACAAACTAAAATATAAGTGGAGAGGCCCTGGCCAGTTTGGCTCAACGGTTAGAGCATCGGCCTGCGGTCCAGAGAGACCCAGGTTTAGTTCCCGCTAAGGGGCACGTACCTCGGTTGCAGTTTGTCCTTGGCCCTGGTTGGGTTGTGCAGGTGGCAGCCACTCAATGTGTCCCTTTCACGTTGATGTTTCTCTCTCTCCCTCCCTCCCTCCCACTCTATCTGAACAAAAAAATGGAAAAATGTCCTCAGGATAAAGAAATAAAATATAAGTGGAGAGTAATGAACCATCAACAACCCCAAGACTGCATGGTGTTGGTATCTGAACAGGAGGAAGAAGGAAGCAGGAAGTGGTGGAGTGTCTTCTCACAGACCTGAGAGTAGTACTCCTAAAGTAGCCACCAAGTATTCACTGCCAAGCATAGCTTTCCAGTTTAAGAATAGCAGCTGAAACTAGAAGGAGTTTTGTGATGGTATTTGTTTTTAACTTTTTTAAAAATTAAGGTAGCCCAGCCGGCGTGGCTCAGTGGTTGAGCATCGACACATGTACCAAGAGGTCGCCAGTTTGATTTCTGGCCAGGGCACATGCCCAGGTTGTGGGCCCGATCCCCAGTGGGGTGGCATGCAGGAGGCAGCCAATCGATGTTCTCTCTCATTGATGTTTCTGTCTGTCTCTCCCTTCTCTCAAAAAAAAAAAAAAAAAAAAAAAAGAATTGATAAAGAAAAGAAAATTAAGGTTTAAGTCATGTACCATAAAATGTACCTTTTTTTTAAAATTGTTCACACTATTATAGATGTCCCGCTTTCTCCCCCCTCCCCTGTCTGACTATTCCAGGTATCCATGCCTCTGCTTCTGTTCTGTTTATCAGTTTATTTTGTTCATTAGATTCCACATATAAGTGAGATCACATGGTATTTGTCTTTCTCTGATTGGCTTATTTCGCTTCCCATAATAATCTCCAGGTCCATCCATACTTTTGCAAAGGGAAGAGTTACTTCTTTTTTACAGCCACATAGCATGTAGTAGTCCATTGTATAAATGTATCACAGCTTTTCACTCATCTACTGATGGGCACTTCAGCTGTTTCTAGATCTTAGCTATTATAAATAATGCCGCTGTGAACATAGAGGTACATATATTCCTTCTGTTTGGTGTTTTGGGATTCTTAGGATATATTCCCAGAAGTGGGATTGCTGTTTCAAATGGCAGGTCCATTATTAATTTTGGAGGAAATTCCATTCAGTTTTCCACAGTGGCTGCACCAGTCTGCATTTCCCACCAGCAGTGCATAGGGGTTCCCTTTTCTCCACATCCTCGTCAACACTTGTTTATTGATTTATTGATGGTAGCCATTCTGGCAGGTGTGAGGTGATATCTTTGGTTTAAATTTGAATCTCTCTGATTATTAGTGATGGTGAGCATTTTTTCATGTCTGTTGGCCATCTGTATGTCTTTAGAAAAATGTCTCTTCAGCTCCTTTGCCTTTTTTTTTTTAAATCCTCACCCAAGGATATTTTTTCCATTGATTTTTAGAGGGCGGAGAAGGGAGTAGGGAGTGGCATGGAGAGAAACATCAATGTAAGAGAAACACATCAGTTGGTTGCCTCCCGAACGACCCCAACCTGGGCCAGGGATCAAACCTACAACCCAGGTACGTGCCCTTGACTGGGAATCAAACCCATAACTTCCATCTGAGGGTGAACACTCTAACCACTGAGCAAAACTGGACAGGGCCTTTTAACCATTACTTTGAACTCTATATCTGTTCAATTGTTTGCCTCCAATTTGTTTAGCTTTTTTTGGAGGCTCCTCTTATTCTTTCATTTGGGGCCTGATCTTTGTTTCCACATTTTGTTTATCTGTGCTTCTGTGTATTAGATGGATCTGCTGTGATTCCCAGTCTTCTTGGGGTGGCTTTGTAGTAGGTATCCTGTGGGACCCTGTGGTGCAGTCTCCTTGATCTCTTGAGCTAGATGCTCTAGGAATGTCCCTCATGTGGATTATGTGGTTCCTCCTGTTGTAATTGGGTCTTGATTGCTGTTGACCCGTTCATGTGTGGAATCAGCCCTCAGGGTGGCTGACTGTGAGACTCAGCTCTGACTACACCATGCAAGTTGTACAGGGAATTCACCCAGTTTTAAAGTATACAGTTCCATAGGTTTTAGTATGCAGTAAGTTCTCACTTAACATTGTTGATAGGTTCTTGAAAACTGCATCTTAAAGCAAAACTTTATATGAAACCAGTTTTACCCTAGACCAATGGTTCTCAACCTCCCTAATACCGCCACCCTTTAATACAGTTCCTCATGTTGTGGTGACCCCCCAACCATAAAATTATTTTTGTTGTTACTTCATAACTAATTTTGCTACTGTTATGTCTTAGGCAACCACTGTAAAAGGGTCGTTCGACCCCCAGGTTGAGAACTGCTGCCCTAGACTAATTAATATAAATAAGAGCTAAGTTTCTATGATATATTTCTGGTCACAAAAACACCATCAAACTTCTAAAAAGACCCTAAACATTTCTAATGTTAAGCTTTGAAATAAATGTTAGCTGTACATACATTTAAGAAAGATGAATTGAAACAAGTAAGATCATTATTTTCTATCATTTTCTAACCCGCTTATTCCAGTGCAGGGTCACAGGTGGCTGGAACCTATCCTGGCAGCCCAGGGCACAAGGCAGGAGACCACCCAGTACAGGACACCTTTCTATCACAGGGCGCACTGACATACACACCCACACTCATACTGAGACAGTTTAGTCACACCAATTAATTTAACATGCACATCTTTGGGATGTGGGAGTAGACTCCACACAGACCGTGGCCTTGGCTGGGAATTGATTTCTTTTTCCTCCTCAACATTATAACAAGACAACATTGAATGAAATAGTTATTTAAGGACCTGCTGTATTTATAAAGTTGTATAGTTATCACCTAATTTCCAGAAATTGATCACCCAAAAAGAAACCCATAAGCAGTCATTCTTCATCCTACCCTACCACCAACCCTAGGCAACCACTAATCTACCTTCTGTCTCTATGGACTTGCATATTCTGGACATTTCCTATAAACAGAGTCGTACAATATGTGGTCTTTTGTGGCTGGCTTCTTTCACTTAGCATATTTGTAAGGTTCATTCATATCGTAGCATATATCAGTGCTTCATTCCTTTTTATGCCTGAATGATACTCCATTGTGTGAACAATTTTGTTTAGCTAAATTGATTTTTTTTTTTTTTAAGAGAGAAAAATTGTTGTAAGAGAGAAATATCACCTGGTTGCCTCCCGTTTGGACCCAGACCAGGAATCGAACCTGCAACCCTCCGGTGCGTGGGACAATACTCTAACCAGCGCTGTATTTATTTTTCTTTCTGACTTATTTTGTTTAGTATAATGCCCTCAAGGTCCATCTAGTTTGTAGCAAATGGCAATATTACATTATTAAGTCTAAAGAGTGTTTTAGAGAGAGAGAGAGAGAGAGAGAGAGAGAGTGTGTGTGTGTACACACATCTTCATCCATCCATTCATCCATCATGGACTCTTAGGTTGTTTCTATATCTCGGTTATTGTAAGTAATGCAGTGAACATGGGGTGCATATATCTTTTCGAATTAGTGTTTTTGTTTTCTTTAGATAAAATACCCCAAAGTGAACTTGCTGGATCATGTGTGGTAGTCCTCTTTTTAATTCTTTTATGAATCTCCATACTGTTTTCTGTAGTGGCTGTACCAGTTTACATTCCCACCAACAGTGCACAAGGGTTTCCTCTTCTCCACATCCTCAACACTTGTCATTTCTGTTCTTTTTGATGATAACTATTCTAACAGGTGTGAGGTAATATTGTAGTTTTTATTGCATTTTCTTGATGATTAGTGACAGTGAGCATCTTTTCATGTACTTGTTGGCTATGTTTATGTTTGGGGAAAAGTTCAGATGTTCTACCCATTTTTAAATCAGATTTTGTTTCTTTACTTGAATTGTATGAGTTCTTTTATATTTTGAATATTAATCCCTTCCCTGGTATATTATTTGCAAACATTCGGTAGGTTGCCTTGTTATCTTGTTGATGATTTCCTTTGCTGTGCAGAAGCTTTTCAGTTTGATATAGCCCCATTTGTTTATTTTTGCTTTTGTTGCCTTTACTTTTGGAGTCAGATATAGAAAATCGTCATCAAAGCCAATATCAAGGAGCTTACCCCCTGTTTTTTCTAGGAGTTTTATGGTTTCAGGTCTTACGTTTAAGTCTTTAATCATTTTCAGTTAATTTTTGCATGTGGTGTAAGATAGTGGTCAAGTTTCATTTTTTTGCATA